GATGTGGTTTGCTTCCTCTTTTCTTGCCACACTTAACTGCCATTTGTGTATGTTGTTTGGTGTATATATATGGACTGGTGTGCTATAGTCCATGGGGTCATGAAGAGCCGGACAGGACTTGGCTACTAAACAACAATATGTTGTTTGGTCTTCATATATTTCAGGTACAAGCCCTTTGTCAGATATATGTGTTGTGAGTGTTTTCCTCCCCTCTCTGGTTTATCTTACCATTTTCTTATGTTATCTTTTGAAGAGCAAAAGTTTTTTTATAAACTCAAATTTATTTCTTATTTACACTTCATGGTTTTTGTACAGTTCATGAGTTATTGTAACTCAGTGTTAACAAAATTTTTCTGTTACAATTTTAGAAATTTGATAGTTTTGGCTCTTATATTTACATCTGTGATCCATTATGAGTTAATTTTTTAGTATAGTGTGAGGGAAAATTTGATTTTTTTTTATTCCAATAAATCCAATTGATCTAATTCCATTTGTCAGAAAAACTTTTCTTTCCCAATTGACTTGCCTTGATATATTTAATAATCAGTTGACTGTATGTTTGTGGGCCTGTTTCTGTACTCTCCATTCTGTTCCAGTGATCATTTTGGAGGGAGCAGTCTTGATAATGTAACTTTATAGTCTTGAAATGGGTTGAACAAATCCTTCAACTTCGTTGTTTCCAAAATTGTTTTGGCTACTCTAAGTACTTTGCATTTCAAAATAAATTTTATGATTAGCTTGTCAACTAATACAGAATTTGCCCTTTGGACAAATTTGAAACTTAAATTTCAAATTTTGAAATGTGTTGAATTTATAGATCAGTTTTGGGAGAATTGACATCTTAAGAAATTGCCACTCGTCACTTACACTTCCATAAAGCTGAGGGAATTAAAGAAATTGAGTCTTTCAGTTTCTGAATATGCATGCTGTACTTCTCTGTTTATCGAGGTCTTCCATTTCTCTCAGTTATGTTTTGTAGATTTTATTAAATGTTTGTTTATTTGGTGGTGCAGGAGTCTTAATTGTGGCATGCAGGATCTTGAGTTGTGACATGCGGGGTTTAGTTCCCTGACCAGGGATTGAACCTTCGCCCCCTGCACTGGGAGCTCTGAGTTTAGCCACTGGACCACCAGGGAAGTCCCAATGTTTAGTAGTTTTCAGTGTAGAGATTTCCCTCTAGCTGAAGAATTTCCTTTGGCATTTGTTCCAGAGCATGTCTGCAAATTCTTAGTTTCCTTATATGGAAATGTTATGTTTGGTGATTACAGAATTCTGGATCAACTGTTCTTTTATTTCAGCACTTTAAAGGTATGCTCTCCCACTGTCTCTGGCCTTGGTAGTTAGTTCCTGAATAGAAATCTATTGTTATTTGAATCGTTTCTCGAATCGATTTTTGAGTCGTTATTTGAATGTGTAGTTTTTTTGTCCTGCTGTTTTTAAGATTTTTTTTTTCTTTTTCTTTTTTCAGTACTTTCATTATGATGTGTCTAAGTGTGTTTTTCTTTTAGTTTATCTCATTTGCAGTTCACTGAGCTTCTTGAAAATGTAAATTATGTCTTTTACCAAATTTGTGAAAATGTTGACTATTATTTCTTCAAATACTTTTTCTGCCCCTGTTGCTTTCTCTCTCCTTCTGGTCCTCCAATTACATATAATGTTAAATCTTTTTATGTTGTCCCACAGTTCTCTGAGACACTGTTCATTTTTTTTTTCCACACAAAATAAATAATAGCGAACGAACTGCAAGCAAACCCACTCACTCCCCCCTCAGTCATATCCGGTCGAGCCAGCCAGTCAAGTGAGCCTTCCTTTTTTTTTTTAAAACTTTAAGGAATGGAATTTTTAAAGAAAAAAATCCCTTTTGGGTCCTTTAAAGGTTTTAAGCCCCGGTGAAAAATCCCAATTTTCCAATCAATTCAAGTATGTTTTCTTTACTCATAAAGGCTAGATATTTGCTGCTTTGAACTTTTAAAACTCTCTGTAATATTTCTAGCATTTGGGTTTTCCTTGTTAGTTTTATATTGAGTAATTTTAGACTGTATAGTAGACATTGTGATTTTTTTGTTCTTTAGAGACTTGTATGGGTGTTTCAAATCTTCATTTATTTTTCTGAGCCTTTGCCACATTGATTTGAATCTGTCCATTATGTTTGGTGATTACAGAATTCTGGATCAACTGTTCTTTTATTTCAGCACTTTAAAGGTATGCTCTCCCACTGTCTCTGGCCTTGGTAGTTAGTTCCTGAATAGAAATCTATTGTTATTTGAATCGTTTCTCGAATCGATTTTTGAGTCGTTATTTGAATGTGTAGTTTTTTTGTCCTGCTGTTTTTAAGATTTTTTTTTTCTTTTTCTTTTTTCAGTACTTTCATTATGATGTGTCTAAGTGTGTTTTTCTTTTAGTTTATCTCATTTGCAGTTCACTGAGCTTCTTGAAAATGTAAATTATGTCTTTTACCAAATTTGTGAAAATGTTGACTATTATTTCTTCAAATACTTTTTCTGCCCTTGTTGCTTTCTCTCTCCTTCTGGTCCTCCAATTACATGTAATGTTAAATCTTTTTATGTTGTCCCACAGTTCTCTGAGACACTGTTCATTTTTTTTTTTTTTCCACATTAGATAATTGCTATTGAACTGTTTTCAAGTCCACTCACTCTCTCCTCTGTCATTTCTGTTCTGTTGAGCCTGTCAGTTGAGTTTTCCTTTTTTTTTTTTAAACTTTTAGGTATTGTATTTTTTAATGATAAAATTTCTTTTTGGTTCTTTTAATGTTTTTATGCTCTGTTGAAAATTCCTATTTTTTCATTCATTTCAGTATGTTTTCTTTACTCATAAAGGCTAGATATTTGCTGCTTTGAACTTTTAAAACTCTCTGTAATATTTCTAGCATTTGGGTTTTCCTTGTTAGTTTTATATTGAGTAATTTTAGATTGTATACTAGACATTGTGATTTTTTTGTTCTTTAGAGACTTGTATGGGTGTTTCAAATCTTCATTTATTTTTCTGAGCCTTTGCCACATTGATTTGAATCTGTCCTGTGTATGTATATGCCTCTCCAGGGTTAGTCAGTTTGAGACTTGTGTGGTTCAAATTTCAGAGAGATTCTCCAAATCTTTGCTGATTTGATGCATGCAGTCTGTTCTCTGCATACATAGTTCAGGGCTTAGACTAAGGCTTGCTTATACACAGAATCCAGAACCCCTTCCTTTGGTCATCTCCTCAGGAATCTTCCTGCACTCTTAGTTTATCATTGGCTTAAGCAATTGTGGATTGGCATAACTTATAATGGTTTTCATGTTTTTTGTGCTTGAGATTCATTGAGCTTCTAGGTTTTAGGGGGTTTTAATTTTCATCAGATAGAAAAATTGTGGTTATTATTTTTTCAAATATTTTTTCTATCAGCCTCCCCACTCTTCTGGGACTTTAAAGTTAGGTTAGAAAATTTAATATACTCTATGTATTTCTGGTCTTCTTTCTCTTTGTGTTTAAGTTTGCTATGTCTTTATGTCCATGGATCTTTTCGTATGCTGTATTAAATATGCTGTTAATTTCATCTAGTAGGTAGATTTTTTCATATATTTTTATTTTTTGTCTCTGTAAGTCCAATTTGGGGCATAAAGTCTTCCATTTCCCTCCTCACTGTTTTTGTGTCCCTCCCCCACACCTCCTTGAGCATATGGCATATACTTAATTAATTCTACTGTCTGTCATCCCTGGTCATTTTCTCCTGGTTACAGTTCATATTTTCTTTCCTGCTTTATTCACGTTTGGTAAATTTTGATTGGATGCTGGACATTCTGAGTTGTATGCTTTAGATTTTGGACTTCATTGCATAAAAAAAAAAAAATGCAGTTATTCTTTTTCTGTGACATACTAAAGTTACCTGGAATTCATTTGATCCTTTCAAGGCTTCTTTGTAGGCTTCATTAGATCAGATTTAGAACAAACAGCTTAATCTGGGGCTAATTTGGCCTTATTACTAAGGCAGTATTTGATGCTGTGTGACTTAGGAAGTCTCTCCACTATGGTTCATTGAAATACAAAATATTCCCAGCCCTGCTCTTTTGCTGTGGCTTTCCCTGCCTCGCCCCCATCTTGAGGTAATTTTCTCACATATACCACAGGTCTCCAGAGCCCTTTCTCTGTGTAGCTACCTTCCTCACAGTGTTTTGCTCCCCAGATTCTAGCCGTTTTGGTTTTCCCATACTGAATTCTGCAACTTGGTGGGATTGCAGAGAGCGGACTCCCTGGGTTTCCTCTTTCTAAGCTGCATACTGGAAACTCTCCAGGAAGAAAGCTGCAGCCATTATAGGGCTAACCTTGCTTTACTTTTCTCAAGCATCACTACACTATGCTGCTTGTTGACCAGTGTTTGAACACTACCATTTCATTTATTTTATTTAGTTTTCCAGCTTTTTTAAAGACAGAAGACTGGTCCTTTTAATCCATTATGGCAAGGAACAGAAATACTCATTCCAATTTTAAAATTTATTGACCAACTACAGTGGGGATTAAATTAGCACGACATTTATTTGTGTTGTTTTTTTTTCTTTCCAGTTGTTCAGATATCCACCCAGACTTGTGTTTTAATAAAAGAGAGACAGAAATTGTTGATGAGGATAACTAGTGTTTTACTATTCATTTCCTCTTTATTTTCACATTGTTTCTCTTGGAGTCATGAAGGACATGTATATATAGCATGCAATTTATCAAAAGTAAAAATGCATGCTCTGCTGAAGTTCATATGGTTGAACTTCTTGCAGTGAGGCAGCAGCACTATTCTTAAGAATGGTCTTCCTGTGAATGAACTTATTTTTATATAGGGATGTATCAAAGGCAATAACCTGTGTATGACAAAGCTTAAAATTGTTTTTGAAATACGAGTATATAGTTGGATGGGTTGCAAAGCATGGTTACCACTACCGTTAGTTATTTTTAAGGAATAGTCATGCTTGATTTGTTATTGGATTTAACCTTAAATACGATCATTTTTCCATTAGCATTGTACAACCAGAAGGCCCAGATGAAGCGCTTTCTAAAGAGGAGGTCATCTTGAAGCTGAAAGCAGAGGTGCAGCGTTTGCTGGATAGCAACTCTGTGAAGCGTCATCTGGTGTCTCAGTTAAAAAGCGAGCTCAAAAACTCTCATAAGAAAATTGAAGATCTCCAAGTGGAGAAGGATGAAAAAAGCATTGAGGTAGAATTTGTAAAGCTGTAAAGCTGTTTTTCAAGACTTCATAAAGAAAAGGTCTTACAGTTTTCACATTTAAATTAAACCTTTGTCTTTCAGGCATTCCTTTGACTTTTTATAATGTAANAGCAATTTGTCTGCTATTTCCCTGGCCTATGTTCTTAAAAGAATAGTCATTCTACAATGAAAAAAAAAAATTGTATGGTGGTGTTAGAGGTGGGAAAGGCTTGTCAGAGTCCTTGAAACCCACCTTTATATCTTTATAAAGTGAGTTAGCTTGCTTACTTTATAGATAAGGTAAATGAAACTGGAGGAATTTGTGACCCTTCTGGGCTTAGAGTGAGTCTTTGGGTGAATTGAGACTAAAACATTGGACTAATGAATAGGTCAAGGTTATTTCTCCAAGATCATGCTATCAGAGGTCTTTAGGGATTGACCCTAAATCCCTATCTCTTCCAACAGCTGCCTTTTTCACCCTTCTCTATTTATAAATCCCAGCTCACCTCTATTCCCATTGGAAAGAAAGATCTAGAAGCTAAGAGGAGAGGGAAGGTAATATATGAGTGTAGGTAGGTGGGACTTGCCTGGTGGTCCAGTGTTCAAGACTCTGTGCTTCTGCAGAGGGCATGGGTTCAATCCCTGGCCAGAGAACTTAAGATCCTCCGTGGTATGTGGTGCACCAAAAAATAAAAAAGATGTAGGTAGTATATTCCTTTTCCTCATGGATGGAAATAATATTTTACTTCCTACTTTGGTACTGTTTTATCTCTTGATCCTTTAAGCTAGGAGTTGTATTCATTAAAACAGTGCTATTAAAGCAAAGTGTGCAAGATGTTCTCTGGCGCTTATTATTGTGGAATTTTAATCGTGCCTAGTTTGCTTTCCAGAAATAATAGTGTGCTCTCACTGTGAAAGCCCTGCCCAGTTTGGTTCTTTCTTTTGAGTAACTATATTTGATGAGCACATTGATTTCAATGTTAATAAGCAAATGAGAAACGGGAGACTGTGCTTCCCCACAGCACATTTAACATCTTTAAACCAAGCTTTTTTAGCTGTTTCCATGTGTTTTTTATAAAGAATGGAAATGAAAATTTGTGTTAGTTAGAGTTGGTTAGTTTAATAAGCATTTTAGTGTTGAGTGTGCTAAGGGTAGGAGCCTGATTTGGGGTCTGAACCTTGGCTCTGGTGTCCTGTTGCTTTCTCTTTTCCATATTGAAATCCCTAGTTGGCGTTTGCTGTACAGATACACTTTCACATGTGTGGCAATGGCTGGTGGCCATTCCTTGTGTTGTTTTTAACCTTTCCGTTTGCCTCCACACACTACAGTCTGTTTTTATCAGTAGATTGGAGGGAGCCATCTCATCTTTGAATATCTTTTTTTTTTTTTTTTTTTGCCAGGTAGCCTTCTGCCATAATGATTTCTCAGCAGTCTACATTTGGTTTTTCTTAAAGTGAGACTGAATTCGGTCCTTGATGCTTATGGCTATTCTGCTTCAACTTAACTATATAGGAATCTCTTGAGAGTATTGTCTTGATAATTCTGTGAGTGTTTGCTAAGTAAATATTTATTGAATTATTACATATGTTGACCCATTTCCTAGATGGGGAAGATGGAGAGGAGGTAGTAATTTAATGGACAGGTGGGTTTTTAAAATAAGCACTTAAGTTCTCAGTCATCTCATTAGCAGATGAATGCCTTCAAACTTGGCCTTTTCCTCCTGTTTCTCTCATCTTTTTCTAATGAAGCTCCCTATTTAGTCTGTAAAGTCAGAAAGCAGGGATGGGGAGGTATGTGGATGAAAAGAAAATTATTCAGTTTAGTTTTTTTTTTTTAAAGCTACTTTATGCAAGGTCTAATGGGATTCAGCAATGAAAGAAACTGTGGCTGTTCTGTGAAGGAACTTCGATTCTAGAATATCACTATCCATTGGAAATATAATAATACCACATATATAACTTAAAATCTCTAGTAGTCCCATTACAGTAAAATAGGTGAAATTGATTTTAATAATTTATTTAACCTAGTATATATAAAATATTATCTTCTCAATATGTGATCAATATAAAATTATTAATAAGACAGTTTTTGTGTCTGTGTGTGCTCTGCCCTTGAAATCTGGCATTATTTTCTGCTTACCGCATGTTTCTATTTGGACACGTCACATTTCAAGCGCTCAACAGCCATATGTGGTTACTGGCTACCATAGTCAATACTACGGATCTATAAGAAGATGGACATGTATACCTTTGTGTAATAAGGATGATACTAATTACAAAGTGCTATGAGAAGGAATAACTAACTGATCTTGGGGGTGGCGTGGGGTACTAAGGTAGCCCTAGTGAAGTCTGTGAGGGAACTTCTGATCTCTGTTCTCAAGGATAAACCCAGGGGAGAAGGTGGAAAGGGACATACGTAAAAGGATGTAGCAAATAAGCTAGAAGTTCATATTATATACACTTNCGTGGGGTACTAAGGTAGCCCTAGTGAAGTCTGTGAGGGAACTTCTGATCTCTGTTCTCAAGGATAAACCCAGGGGAGAAGGTGGAAAGGGACATTTCAGCCTTGAGCGGACGTATGTAAAAGGATGTAGCAAATAAGCTAGAAGTTCACATTATATACACTTAGTCTTTCTGAAGTCTTTAATGCAGCTAAATTCATTAAATGTCTTGATTTTTTTTTTTTTTAATTGTGGCCGCACTGGGTCTTTGTGGGGTGCCGGCTTTCTCTGGTTGCTGCGCACGTGATAGCAACTTTCTCTGGTTGCTCTTGAGCGCTTGGGCTCAGGAGGTGCAGCAGGTGGGTTTCGTTGCTCTGCAGCGTGAGATCTTAGTTCCCTGACCAGGGGTCGCACCCGAGTCCCCTGCACCGAAAGGCAAGCCCTGGACACTAGGGCAGTGCCTCTATCGATTGTTTAGAAAGAATGATCATAGCTGGCATCAAATCCGGAGCTTAATGAGATGATGTTGAAGTTTTATGCTTGCTAAGAGAAAGAACACAATAATTTAAACTTCCCTGGATGTCTTTTTAAAGAGAACTGGGCCATCAGAATCCTCCCCTGAAGCCTTTATGTATTAAGAAGGGCAACAAAAATATTTTCTATACAATCTTTTTTGACAGATTTCTTTCATAGATGTTTTAAAGGTGTTAATATATTTATTTCTTTATAAATGCCTTTGGTATGTTTTATATCCATTTCTATTCATCTTATATAGAACAATTTAAAGTTACTGCAGGGTTTTTTTTTGCTTTTATGTCATATATGACTGTTCATAGCAGTGCTGCTTGATGACATTTCCAGGATAATATGTGATGAAACTGGGGAGTCTGCCCATGTATAGCACTATGCAGTGATTAGGGGTAGGTCAAATGCTATGCTGTTCGTTTCAGTTGAACAACTGGGCCATTAAGGTAGAATGTGGCAAAGGCCTTAGGAAAACCAGACTGGCTTACTAGCAGGCAGGGACCACATCGACACTGAATTTCTTGTAAGCTTAAGAAATAAAACACAGAACCCTTTCTGTGTGTGATACTTAATAGAGATCGTTACCTTACCACAAGCTGTGGTTAAAGCCATACTCTTGATTCCAAGGGACTTGATAGGCAATGTTCAGTAGCCAACTCAGAAGGGTCCTGGCTAGAATTTTTTGAGACATAGAAATTAGGAAGATAGTAAAAGAGTTGGTATATTACATTTCTTGTGTTTTTGAAGATAATGCCTTCTGTATTCCAGCTTTAGAGAGAGAAATTTTGTGGCGACATTCAAATGGTCCTTTTCTGTTGAAAGACATTCTTAAGAGTTTTGTGCCAACAATTACTGCAAGTACCAAGTCCCAGTGTGCCTGCAGTGTGAAAATATGTCAAAATTGAGTGCAGTAACTAGCCATGAAGATTGTTTTTTCAGGGTAGCAGTATGATGTTACTTTCATTCTAAGTAATAGAAACTCACTTATAGGGAAGGAAGCACAAATGAATGTCATAAACCTTAAAAAGTAGAGGCCATGTTGAAGAAAAAAAAAAGCCATTCTAATAAGTCAACAAAATCCTTTAAAGTCTCATTAATACCCCGAAGTCTGAAAAGCTAATTCTTTCTTAGGACTGGGACAGGAGCAGTGACTTCTGGGACATGATGGCAGGTGAACCAGCAAAGCCAGCAACTAGAGCAGTCTCCCTCTGAAGGAAATGAAGACTAAATGCGAAAAAGGAGCCTAAGTCTTGGGGTTCTGTCACCCCACATAGAATGAGATACACATACCTCTTTTTCCCCCAGTTAGTGGAGTGAACTTTGGTATAGATATATGTTAAACATTGAAGAAGAGACCTCAGAGTTCAGGTAAATAATAAAATCGATAGGTCAATTAGAGTAGATATTAAAAAAACAACAACTTTGACCTCTTCAATGAACAAATAACTTATAAAAATGGATAAAATACTCAGGTAGTAAGAGGAAAATGCTAACCTATATATATCTGGGAAGATGAAGAACAAGTGAAAAATGAAGGCATGTAACAGGTTGCTCTCTGATGGTGACACAAGAAATGCAAATAAAAAAAATTTTGGAGACCCTTTCCCTCATCAAGCACAATAATCATTCAGTCACTGGCCATTGGCGGCAAAGAGAGCTGGACAGACTCTTGTACTACCTGACGGTATACATGTGTACCAACTTTCTGGAAGCAATTTACCAAAGTCTATCATGAATTCCTATTGAATAAAATGTATGAGTTAATATTGACTAAATATGCTAAGCCTAATGAGTGAGAGTGTGATAAAAAATAGAATGTTTCCATAGTCTCAAGTGTCTCTGAATAATATACTTACTATTAATTGCAAAATAGTAACTTTGTAGTGGAGGTGCCTGCAGACAGGGTCTTTGACCTTCATCAGTTAGTTGATCATCACCAGTGATGAGGCATATTAATGTCATATGTCTCCTCAGAAGTGTTCACATCACTTCTTTGGTATTCATGCCAAAAATGCATAACCTTTTAAATTATTAAATTTAATAATGAAGTAACATCAGAAAAGCTCAAATTGAGGGGCAACCTACAAAATAAACGATTACTACAAGTACTCTTCAAAAATGTCATGGATTTGAAAGACAAAGACTGAAAAAAACTGTCCTAGATTGGAGGAGACTAATAATATGTGACAACTAAATGCAATGTAGAGTTGTAGGTTGCAGCCTGAACCAGAAAAAGACATTTAGAAGAAAATTGGAAAATTTTGCATAAGGCGTGTAGATTGGGTAATAGTATTGCATCCTAGTTAATTTACTGATATTGATAATTGTACTCTGGTTATTTGTACTGTTTTTGTACTTTCTTTGTAAGTATGACATTGTTTCAAAACTAGTGCTTAAAAATTTTTTAAAACCTGAAAAACTTTGATTTCTCTTTAACATTTAGACTAAAGCAGATACCTCAGAAAAACCAACTAATCAGATACGGCCTGACTCTTCTGACATGATTGTCAAAGATGAAATACTGCAGCTTAAAAATGAAATTCAAGTTTTACAGCAACAAAATCAGGTGATTAAAAAACTTTCCTTTATTTTATGAGAAATCTCATGACCTCATTAAAAAATAGAGAGGTACTATGACACAAAGGTATTAGTGGACAAGTACATCAGCAGGTAACTAGGATTCCAGTTATTTCCTTTTACTACTGGTCATGTGGTAGTATTTTCATTTGAAGGTAAGTTAGTGTAATTCCAGCTTCCTGTCTGCATAATTGCACGGCTATTGGAGGTATTCTTTGCTCCTTAGTCAGCTCTTGACCAAAAAGTAAAACCTTGCTTATTTATATGGTTGGGAAGATTATTGTATTCTAAGACTTGTTAGAAAGCATCAGTTAACCAATTCTTCACTGATTGAATGCTTTTATACGAGTTTTTAATGTTTACTCCAATCAGAAAGCTACTTGATAAGCCTATACTCTTACAAGGCCTGAAGAGACTTTTATAGAATTATGAAAATGATATTATGTCAAATAAGGTTATAACGAAAGAGAAAAGGGACAGAGGATATCAGAAAATAAGATTAGACTAGTCAATAAAGGTGTTTATTTCCTCTAAATACTTTATTCTTTTGTATCCAGGAACTTAAAGAAACTGAAGAAAAACTGAGAAATACAAATCAAGACTTATGCAATCAAATGAGACAAATGGTACAAGATTTTGACCGTGATAAACAAGAAGCTGTTGATAGGTGAGGTACAGACATAGGCCTCCCTTCTCCCATCTCCTATTCTCTCTCCCTTACACACCCCCCTCCAAAAGATTCAAGTAAAATGATGGGGGTGAACCCTCCCCATTGAGATCATAAATTGGAGAAGATGAGTCCCTGGCTTCTCAAATTAGAACTTGGAACTCACTTTCCATAGACATAATGTTACATAGTGGGTTGAATTCTATAGAACCATCCAAACTGTAGTTCATTGAAACAGTAGAGCTTAATGGCTTAACTATTTTTTTTTTAATAAGAGAAATTTGTGGGAGGAAATAATGTCTTCTAAATACAAAGTCATAAACTTGGAAACAGACTTTTGGAACATAACTTATGTGTGAGTTGGGTGCTTTAGTATTTGCGTTTAATATAGATAACTTAGAATTTTGGAACCACACCCTCTGTTATTTCAATTATTTTTTTATAAACAAGTTCTAAACACAGACTGTTATACTCTGTGTGAAGGACTAGGGCATTCACACATCTAGGTTTCTAATTTTTCTTTAGAAACATTTGTAGAAAGAAAATGTTGAAGATTCTTATAAGATCATCTGTTGAAAGTTAACTATTACCACTTTTGGTTGGGGAAGACCAATGTGATCTTAATTGCGCTTTGCATTCATAGGGAAGGAGTGGGGAGGAAGGGAGGGAAACCAGTTCATCGTGCTGTTTCTGGTAATGCTGGGCACTGCCTTAGATTCCACTGTCTGTCGTCTATCTCTAGGTGTGAGAGGACTTACCAGCAGCACCATGAAGCCATGAAAGCCCAGATACGGGAAAGCCTGTTAGCAAAGCACGCTTTGGAGAAACAGCAACTCTTTGAGGTTTACGAGGCAACTCGCTTACAACTTAGGTGAGAATGCAAGTCTTGCTGCCCTTGAAAGTGTAGAGACAGCTTTCTCTTATTCCATCATTTAGAGGCAAATTGTTCGTTCTGCAGCCTTACATTTAGTTGCTGGTTTTGTGTATCCAAGGTCTGACTTAGATAAGGTGAATAAGGAGATGGCGGCTGTGCAGGAATGTTACCTGGAAGTGTGCCGAGAGAAAGATAACCTAGAAGCGACTCTCAGGAAGAGCATGGACAAAGAGCAACAGGCACAGGAGAAGAAGGTACAGAACAAGTTCATGTTGTGCTCACGTCATTGCTCTTTGAAACCAGTGCACACATTCTCTTGTGGAACAGGGAAGACGTCTGTAGAAGGCTCTTTACATTTGACTGATTGACACGAATTCAGCTCACAAAGTTCAGTAAACATTGAAATGATTATTAAAGCCCTAGTAGAAAATGTCAGATCCATAGGAGAAAGTGATTCTTCCTCGTAGATTTCTAAGAGACCAAAGAGAGTTCTATAAAAATAAGGGCAGTGGACCCGAGTCACTTTGAGTCTGAAGCCCAGGGATCCTTGTTTTGTGTGTGTGTGAGCACTGCACGAAGTATCCCCCTCAGAGACCTCTTTCTCTGACCCATTTCTCTCAGGACGTAAGCATCCATTTGTGCTGGGGTAAAGGGCAAGAATTTGAACTGTGGTATTGTAACACAGGAGGTGATGATGTGGGGCTGTGGAGAGGAAGGTCAGTTTAAGTGTGACCTCTGTCCAGGGAGGTCTTGTCATTCAGGGAAGCTGGAGGGGCTGCAGTGTCCTCTGTACTCCTGCCTGAACCTTCCAAGTTGCCCTTGGCGAGTGTCCAGGAGTCAAATCACTTAAAAGCACTTGCCCCTCCTGTCTTCTTCCCTGTCCTGACCTGAGCCTCATCCAGACACCCATCCATCTCTCCCTTTCCCTTGAGACTAGGCTGCAGCCCACAGCCTGAAAGCCACCTGCATCAAAATCAGAAAATATTTTTAAAGTCTTGAGGAAATGTTTTTAACAGAGACTTCTGAATAAGTTATAGTAAAGCGTGGCGATTGCTACCACCAGACTTGAAAAGAATGGCAAGGAGCAGGTGAGGAAGGCCAGTTCTTTTAATATTTTGATTATTTTTGATCAGGTTAATATGGTTGAAAAGCATGCCCTGTATACATACCATCTAGGGAAAAAAGAACTAAGGGGAGATGTTTTAGTTTGTGCTGATGAAATAAAAGCTAGAAAGTGTCTTAAATTACCTAGAAATTAAAGACTTAGCTCAGTAATGTTTAAAAAAATTAAAATAGGGAGAAGATCTAGTGTGATTGTTTTCTTTCTTTCTTCCTTTAAATATATAAATTGGCAAGAATATAAGAGCATTTCTCTCAAAGAGGTCATTCTTTTCAGAAGTATATCTCCTAGTACTTTGAAAAGAATCAGTTTGGCTGTAAAATTTCACCCCCCATAATTGATCAGTTGCAATTAATAGCTGGTACTAACTGGTATTTTGGCTCATGAATTCTTTTGCACTGGGGCAAGAAGGAAAGTTAAAACTATTTGGGCCTTCCAAAAAAACCTACAAGTTAGACTTTTTTTCTTTAAAAGTTTTAAATTGCCATACAATAAAAAAATTGATTCTTATTCATTTGATGTCAATGTGTGGACTGAAACAGAACAGTCTCATCACCCCAAAAAATTCCTCTGCACTATCTGCTTGTAGTTATACCCATCCCTCACTTAAAGGGCCAGTGTACTTAAGAGCAGTAAAAGTTTTAATTCCTTTCTTCTCTGGATATTCTTTAGTTTTTTTATTTAGGTTTAAATAAGTCCTTTACAAAGCTTAGTAGCCTTCATAAGCCAGTCAGAATAGAACTCCTTTACATTTATGAGACTTTAATTTTTTCGTATCCTCCAGAACTAGACAAAGATATGTATTTACACACCAGTGTACTTTCCTAGGACTTATTTCACATTCACACAATGGGAGAATCTTACTAACGCGAGCAGGCTAGGGAGCTGTTAGGGTAGTCCTCCTCCACAGGACGGCAGTCATTTTCCTTGCAGTTGGTCTCCGCGTCAAAGAGCTTTGCTTGGATACAAAATGTATATGACAGGCAATGCTGTGAATCCCCAGTTGTATTTCCTCTTTTCATATGTCATCTTTCTGAAACACTTGTTGAATCAGGCTGCAGGTTAAGTCCAAGTTCAATACCAGCCTTTAAAGCTTCTATTAGCAGATGTTAACCCGGCTTGTTCATATACACTGGAACTTCAGACTTGGGTATAATCAATAAAGGCTGTGAATCTGTGAGCTTCCTTCGTGGCTCAGACAGTAAAGAATCTGCCTGCAGTGTGGCAGACCTGGGTTTGATCCCTGGGTTCAGAAGATTCCCCTGGAGAAGGAAATGGCAGGTCACCCCAGTATTCTTGCCCGAAGAATTCCACAGACAGAGGAGCCTGGTGGGCTAGGGTTCCTGGGGTCACAAAGAGTTGCACACAACTGAGTGTGCAACACACAGATACACATGAGTCTGTAGATGAGGAAAAGGTAACCGATGCTGCCCTGCGTAATGCCATTCCTACGCACAAGCTAAGGCTTGTTTATACAGTTGTAATCCATGTTAAATCAGTCCTTAGAAGTTAGATTTTTTTGACTGTGAGAGGCATGCAAAACAAGTTTCAACATTTTAAAACTATCCAAGTATTCCTTCCCTTGAATGATAAAACTTTTTGAATTAAATATTCCTGTAGTATGTTCAAATGACAGATTCCTGTGACCAATAAATTTGCTTTTCTTCTGTAGAGTTGGAAGCAAGGTTTTCCTCACTGTGGTGGATTGCAGAAACGGCCACACTTTCTTCTTATCCCTGAATGTGGGTCTCTCTGCAGTGTGGCTTTGTAGCTGTTCTCAGTTATAGATAGTCTGTTTCTCTTCCCTTGAATCTGACCTTGGCCAAATGACTGACTTTGGCTAATGGGATACTAGTAGAAATTATGTAAAAAGACATTTAAAAAGCATTTATGTGTTGCTCCTTGGAAGCCTGATACTCTTAGGAACGCTTTGTCCAAGCACCGTGTAAAGGATCTGGAATAACCTGCTTGATGATGAGACATGTGACCAAGTCACTGTGTCATCCTGGTGACATTGAACAAACCACCAGGCATGTGAGTGTTGCCATCTTAGACCATTGTAGCCCCAGTTGTCTGCAGAGATGAGCTGAGTAGGCTCAGGCTATCACCACCACCCAGCTGATGCACAGAATCATGGGAAATAATAGATGTCTGTTGTCTCTGTATTGCCTGGTTTATTATGTAGTTAAGCTAATATATTCACACATATAGACACACAGAAAATTAGTAGCAATTTTTTTCTGTGTGTCAAAAGGAAATGCAGATACACATAGAAACAACTCCTAAAGGAAAGGCACACACAGATAAGACAATTCGGGGATTTGTTCTACAGTCAAAACAAAAATAACAGTGATATATGGTCTATGATGTGACAACGGACAATTTTCCCGACCATGTGGATGAGACTGTCCTATGGTCCTAATACAACTTCAGTCCCCATGATGTGACTGAAGAAATGGGTCCCTCAGTCCCTAGGAGGTTTTCCAGAACCATACAACCCTCAGCAAACATAGATAACATCTTCTTGGCATGTACCAGTGGTGGAAAGGACTCAGATAGCAATTAAGACAGAAATAAACAAGGTCAGCTGTGAACCAGAAAAAAATCGGGACAACCATATAGTCATGAGTCAAAAATAATGCCGAAGAATCAGAACAAAAGATTGGTTGCCAAGTACTAGGTATGTGAGGTGTACTTCCTTGGTATTGTAATCTGTGGTCTTCAATGTGTTTCTTCTCATAGCATCTTGGTGGGACTTCCAGAAGACCAATTTGAAAAAACTTTCAAACGCTCACAGATAATTTTGATCCCTGAGTAGAGTTTTATTAGGGTTTTCAGACCAATTGTGTTCCTAGAATAGAAAATATTATAGGAATAGTTCAAATTATTAAATTTTAACTGACACTTGACCATTCTTATTTGATAATGCTTTAGCTAGTTTTGGTAAGGTTTTGTCTTTGATGATGAAAAAAGTACTAATCTGAATTTGTTGAAGGATGCATAACTTTTAGAATAGAACAGTAAGAGACTTCCCTAGAGTTTCAGTGATGAAGATTTCATGCTTCCACTGTAGGGAGCACAGTTTTAATCCCTGATTTGAGGAACTAAGATCCCACATGCCTTGTGCCCTGCCCCCCCCCCCCAAAAAAAAAAGAACAGAGTAATAACTTTGGGATTCTCTCAGAATACAGATCTTTTCAGAAATGTAAGTTTTCCTGGGCTGTGATACCTCACATGTCCCGTGATCACTGGGCTGTAAACATAAATGTCAGTTTCACTTTTAAAAAAAGATATTTGGTCTTCTGGGAGTATTTATTTATTAGATGTATTTATTGTGCTAGATGCCTTTTCTTTTAATGTATCCAACTGTAAATTTCTTATCCAAATATGTGAGTTGTAGGCAAGTTTTTACAAGACAACTTATTCAACTGATTGAGTTAGCATATAGGAAGTTTACTTGTCTCTGTTGCTGTTGTCTATTACATGCATAAAACTATTATTTTATAAATTTGACTTGGAGAATATTAGTGTCATATGAGATACTTATTTGAATTTTGTTTAAAGAGACAGCTATTGGAGGAAAGAGAAGAGTGTGTAAGGAAACTACAGGTGGAACTTGAAGAAAAGTACCAAGATACCCTTGTGATGGAAAAAGACAAGTGGCTGAAAGAACACGAAAGTAATATTAAACAGCAGGTTGAAAATGAAGTGATATTAGCAAAAGAACACTGGGATAAGGAACAGAAAGAGGTGTGGGTTAAAATTTCTTTCTAGTCACTATGTTTTAAAAATGTATAGTACTAACTGTTGAGAGATAGCTCTTCCTGAACTGACATTATTTTTAATAGCCAAGTACATATCCAGTATTCTTGCCTGGAGAATCCCATCAACAGAGGAGCCTGGCGGGCTCTAGTCCATGGGGTCACAAAGAGTTGGACATGACTGAGAAACTAACATACACACACACACACACACACACAGAGACATATATAATCATTCATTTATGTCTTTGAATTGGGCTGTTTGCAGTTTACACCAGTTTTGTTTTTTAAAACTTCCCACCCCTTAGTTCTTTAGCCTAATTCAGGAAATGTGTTTTGAGGGGTACTTTTTAAAGTTTTCAAATGAAACAACAACCAAGTTTCATATTGTGAAATGATTCTGATAATTTGAGACCAATATAATTAACAAATACTTAACATACACTGTGGATTAGAAGACAAGTAATGTTTGGGTAGACTTGGGTACAAAACTTCTATTAACTTCTGTAGCAAATGAGGTTAAGAAATGCTCTTAGTTTCCAAGAAAATGAAGAACCAAATTGTGATCTTAAAAACTTAGTTGAAAGTGAAATAAGTTATCAAACTTGTTTAAACTAGGTTCTTTTGTCCTTGCTATTGCTATTAATTTGGGTTGGGGCTACCTCAAAGTGAAATTGTAGACCATTGTCCTGTCTTTTGACCTTCCTACTCATCTCCCATCCCTTCCCTCAAATTTCATCAGTCAAGTGCTGGCACCTGAAATTCCTTCACTAGTCATTTTTTAATATAAAAATACATTCTGGAGTGTATCTAGCCATGTATATATAAAAATATAGATGGCACAAAACAAATGTCCTATTTTTAAATTACTGCAAATTGTTTTTAGTTGGATTTTTTAACCAGTTATTTACTAGGTGGAAGAGTGAGACAGCTATAATGCTTTTGTGAGAATGGCAGGAAAGGATAAATCAAAAAAGGCCACTTAAGGTAGCTCTTTTGAGAGAAGCAATGCAGCCAGCAGCTGTGGTAGCCAGGGAAGTAATCTGAAAACCTTGGATACCTAGGAGGTGGGAAATAGAAAGAAGGAAAAGCAAATTTTGCTATTTCACAGTTTTGCCCACTGCTAATTATGTTTGGGTCCATCCTACTACACTGCTGAAAGTCATATCATTAAGACATTCTTCCAGTAATGCCCTCTTGAATGCACAGCTGACTCAGTGCAGTTTAATATGACAAAAGAGATTCTAATGTGTTCAATTAAGTCAGACTATTTTTTAAATTGTTCAATTTTAGGTTCATTAATTATACTTACCCTGTGCCTGCTTTGTGGAAACTCTGATATTGATGGAAAATCACATATTCATAGCAGAGATTTTCTTCATTTTTTTCTTTTTTTAAAATCATACCATCATTGTAGTGGCAATGTGAAAGTTTCCATCTTGAGAGCAAGGTAACCTGATCTTTTACAACATACTTAAATCTCCCATGTGATTTGTGTCCCATAGATAAAGTCAAAGAGTAACTTTCAGGATTTCTGTGAGGATATGTTCTCATTGACTACACTTCAAAACCTCACGTGATTACTGCAGCAATGTTAGATGGTTCTCAAACCATCTGTGGTTGCTTTTTTGGCTACCTATTAATTCTAGTTTTTGCTTATTTGAATATTTTTCTCTTCATGCGATTTTTCTTCTGAAAACAGATCAAACAAGAACTGATTCAACAGCTTGAAAAGGAGTGGCAGTCTAAACTGGATCAAACTATAAAGGCAATGAAAAAGAAGACCTCAGATTGTTGCAGCCAAACTGACCAAGAAACCACCATTGATGTTATTTCCAAGAAAGAGATGGCAATCATGATAGAAGAAAAGAAGCAAAAGATCCAGCAAAATTTAGAGCAAGAGAAGGAAACAGCCATCAAGGGGAATTTGAAGAAACTTGAGTTTGAACAGGAACTCAAATATTATGAAAATATTGCCAAACAGGTAATAGGCAGGTTTACTATAGCAAAATTATTGGAACTGCCTACTAATGAAAACCTGTTAAGTGCTACCATTGAACTTGTTCATAACTTTATATTTAAATATTTTGTGCACCCTAAGGTAGAGTAACAATCTTATGTTCTAAAATTTTCACTATATTTCTGTCACAAAACTATCAACTCTCAGTTTTTCTCTATATTCTTTCAGTGTACAAAATGTGTGCTCCTCTGAGTTGGTCTAAATATTAAGATGACTGAGGTTAATGATGATGGTTTGACATCTGAATGAAGCATAATTTACTTATGTATCTTTCATATCTAACTTTATGGAAAATAATTTGCTAAAGTAGTTACAGATATGTAAGCTTAAAGTGAATAAGATATTTAACAATATTTGTGTTGAGACTTGAATCTGGAAGCCTACCTTTTAAATGCGACTTTGTCTATAAATCCTGTGGCCAAAAAGGGTATCATCACCTCCCCTTGGAAGCACTCAAAAAGGTAGCTCCTTTTTAACTGGGACCTGTTACTTGCTTCCAAGAAAGGTCGGACAGAGAAAAGCATAGCTCTGTGTTAATAGAATAAAAGCTGAGTTATTATTTTGTCAATATTGTCTATTACAGTGATGCTTAAATTTTTTGTTCTTAGGATGTCTTTACAATTTTAAAACCTGAAGACTTGAAACAGCTTTTCCCATGTTGGTTGTATAATTTTTTTTTTTACTGTATTGGAAAAAAGCTGCAAGAAAACTTTAAAAAATAAGAGTCTTCATGCACATTTGCCTTTGGCTTCAGGGAAGTGACACATTATACAGCATGTAGCCTCTGGAGAACTGTACTATTTACACATGAAAGAATGGGAGTAAAAAAGACAAAGGAGGTCCAAATATTTTGAAAATAATTTTGACCTCACAAACCACCTGACAAGGTTTCTAGCCCTCAGAGATCCTTGGACCTTAATATAATATTATTTATTATATATTTAAAAATTTTAGATCTGTTAATGTAAAGTCTTAAGATAATACCTGAAGTAAAATTTAAAAAAAATACATACTTGGCTTTTGATAAATACTTGTTCTGCCCATCTGTTAAATTGTTATTCGTGATTTTACAAGGGATACTGAAAGTATAGAAGTGTAGGCAAGTATATGTAATTTTATTAAGGGTATTTTCAGTCAGTTAAAAAAATTTTCTCAGCTGTTTAAGTTTTGAACCGAGTTAATAAAGTGTTTTATTGGCAAAGGGACATATTTAAGGGTGCTGGTTCGGTATTTATATAATTACAGATCTTGTGAAGAAAAACAAAAAGCGGTATGTTGTAGAAAGGAAATATTTGCAGTAACTTATGAAGGAATATAAATTTCTGTATGAGCTTTATCTTTTCCCCATGTTTTTAACTTTCTAGAATTTACCTATAAATTTATTTAACATCTTAGTGACAAATTCAGCCCCTTACATCAACTCTGCTTTTGTGTGTATGTATGGTCATATGTATATCGTGATATTTTGAACAAGGAAATAGGAAAGATTATTTAATAAATGATCCGTGGTAACCCGTAATGTGTTTACAACCAGATCACCCTCATAATCCAAGGCTTATATTTTTGCTTGACTTGAAGTATCCCCCTTACTTTATAGTCACAGATTCATCCTTGACAGCAAGAAAAATTGTCGAGTATAAGGCTCTAAACTGTATTGGTGCATTTGCCTGTGTGCATATGTTGATACCTCAGGCACAAGGACTGAGAAGGTGGTGGGTATACTGACTGGACAGAGGCCGACACCAAGCAAGCTTCCTGCATTTCTTCTTTTTCACCCTGAGATAAATAGGAGTTTGTTGGAAGTGGCAATTTGTATGGTTTTCTATTAATGGTGGTGGTGGTGGTTTAGTCACTGACTCTTTGCAACTCTAGGGACTGTAGCCCACCAGGCTTCTCTGTCCATCAGGTTTCCCAAGCAAGAATATTGGAGTGGGTTGCCATTTCCTTCTCGAGGGATCTTCCCTACTCAGGGATCGAACCCTGATATCCTGCATTGCAGGTGGATCCTTTTTCAGGTGGATTCTTTACCGACTGAGCCACCAGGGAAGCTCCTTCTATTAATTGTAGTGGCCATTAAACATGTATAGTTTTCTGCTTCCTGTTTTGGCATTTGCATGGGCCAGTATGGAACATTTAGAACAGAAGGATTAAATTCACTGCTGGGGATAAGGGCTGGGAGGTACTTGAAATCAGTTTAACTACTCCAGTGCAAAACAGCATAAAATGCACAGGAAATCATAGAGGCTTCCTGCAGATGGGATCTTTCTGAAATTGTATACCTTATTTTACCTCTCCATCTCTCGAAATTGCTCTCCTGAAGGTAGAAGCAGCTGTGCAGAATGCTCGTCATCGGTGGCTGGAAGAACTGCCAGAGCTCGCAGAATATAAAGCACTTATAAGAGCAGAACAGAAGAAGTGGGAGGAGCTGCAGGAGCAGTCAGTGGCCAAACGGGTAAGAGCTCTCCTGGGAAGAACCTTCAGGAAGACCTCATCTCGGTCCCAGGAACTCCTACCTGCTCACAGCCTTGTGGAAGGATTACATGCAATAGTGCCTGTATAAGCTTAGCTCAGGACCCAACTAGTGGGATCTGTTTTCATCAGTATCATGTATTTGAGGGGAAGAGAATGTGTTTCAGTCAATGAAACTCTCACAATCTGGAACCTTACCCATGGAACAAAATCTTTTTCTACTTTGCCGTATTTTTAGGAGAATCAGAGAGCAGTTAGCTATATGATATCCTTTCACATGTATAACTGTTGTCTTATGTGCTGTGTCAGTAGTCTTATACTTCCCTTGGTAAATAATCAGCACTTCTTTCCAGAGATGTCATGTTGCTTGACTAGAAGCATCAGGTATTACAACCATTTGTATTCTCCCAACTTACTTTATTAGTATAAACCAATTCTAGTCAGAATACCAATAAACTGAACTTAGTTTTGAAATTTGACACAATAATTTGAAAATCTATTTGGAAAACTGAAAGGGCTAAGAAATTTAAAATATTCTGGAAAAGAAGTAGTAGTCCAGCCCTAACACTTAATAGAATATGTTGGAAAGCAACAATTCAGACAGTGTTGAGTCACAAAAATAGAATTCTTTTTCATTCAGTACTATAGAGACATTGAAGATATGTCCAACAACGAATAAGAACTTAATTGTTTCAAAACATGGAATGAGGAATTATTCTATATTAAGTAGTCTTATGATAGCCAGACAGCACTTTGGAAAAATTGTTTTCCCATCGCAAACATCACAGTAAACTCTAGGTTGATTCAGAAATTAAGCATTTTAAAATGAAAATATAGGAAAATTAAAAGAAATTGAATATTTCAGATTTGCATCATAATTTGGTAGTGAAGCAACAGGCACATTAGCAAAGACAGATAAATAGGATAAAATATGTACACCATTTAAAACACGTTTGTTTATGTAATAACATTAAAAGAGGGGATAATAAAAATAAGGGAAGTGAATCAAATAGAACCATTATATGTGATAAGGAAAACAATACAGATTTATGAGAAACAATCTATGGATAAGTACCCCAAATATATGAACATACAGTCTTCATGAGAAGTCCACAAATAGCAAACTTAAGGTGCTATTTTATGCTGTGTTTATATCCTCTCTTAATTGTAATACGCAAGATATAATAGATTGAAGTTTCAAACATATATTACTCCTGTTGTCACAACAATTTTGGAAAATAATATGTGTAATAGACATTGTAAATGAGTCATATGTTGTATTCATAGTCTTATATTCCACAAATTACTTAAGGAATAATTCAGCATAAGTAAAAAAAAAAATCTGTTTTAATATTTTTCTCAAGTTATGTGGTGGTACATGGATGATCATTATAATATTCTCTGTATGTTTTTAGTTGTTCAGTTGCTAAGTTATGTCCGACTCTTTACAACCCCATAGACTGCACACACCAGCCTTCCCTGTCATTCACTATCTCCCAGAGTCAACTCAGATTCATGTCCATTGTGTTGATGATGCCATCCAACCATCTCATCCTCTGTCACCCCCTTCTCCTCCTGCCCTCAATCTTTCCCAGCAACAGGGTCTTTTCCAATGAGTTGATATTTCAAAAGGAAATTTAAGAGGTAGAGAGAAAGAGGAAACTCTATGATGATGTACATATGTCTCTTAGAGTTCAGAAGTTAAGAATAATAAGTTGACCTTTCCGTAAGAACACAGAATCCTGAATGAATATATGTGAATGTAGAAATACAGAAGCAAGAGGACCGTGTGTTGCTTCTCAAACTTTCAACAGGCATGAGAATCACGTGGAGTTGTTAGAGCAGATTCCTGGGATTTGCTCCTAGAGATGCTGATTTGATGGGTCTGGAATGAGTTAACATGTTGTAAATCCTTCCTCCAAGCCAATGAGGTAGGCAAGAGCATTTTTCAGCACTGGCCGAGAAGTTCTTGTAAGATTAGAGGGATCCATCAAAATCTGGAAATTTAAAGCTAGTTTCCAGAATCCAAAATTAGTCAAGTTGGTTCCTCAACTTTGCTGCACATTTGAAAAACTTGAGAATCTTTAAAAATTGCTGCTGCCGGGCTCCCACCCCTAGGCTTTATGTTTTAATTGGTACAGGGTGTGGCCTGGGCATCAGTCAGGATTTTTAACAGCTCCTCAGGTGATTCTAATGTGCAGCAATGTCAGGAAGCTCTAAATCAATTAATGCTGCCAAATTCTCCTGTAAAACTTTATATGAGAGGTTGTATAGTTTTGGTGAGGTTGGACGGGTCACCCAATTTCCCTGGGACCTGACCTCTACCCTAGTTACCTGTTGATCATTTCCAGGCATCCACTGTGACATGCCCTGTTTTCCTTCTTGGGAAAGGAAACATGTTTCACATGGCTACTAAATTATTTTACTGGTGGTAAAAGAATTTTGCTATGAATTCCTTTGTAAAGCTCATCTTAGATAGTGGGTTCCTTTAGTAAACTTAAAGAATGATTCAAAATTTTTGACTTATATCCAACTGTTTAGGAACACATTTTATTGAGTAAAGATACATAATGTGCCTAGGAATCTATATAGTTGAAGATAATTTGCTATAATTATGTAATAGCTAAGAATTAAGGAAGCCAACCCTTCATCTCCATAGCTACAGTGTATATATGGTATTGATTCATAGTGGTCACCACCATCTAGGCCAGGCCAATTCTTCTTTTGCATTTGTATCCCTGTGGCTTCTCTGATTTAGTCCAGGGAGTATTAGAAGTGAAAGGAACTTGAGGTTATCATCTAATCTGCTTGTTATATAGAAGACAGTGTAAAACAGATAAAGAAATTTTCTAAGCCTATGCAGCCAAGAGTAACAGTAAATACATAATATTTTCTGAGTCTTATTGTTTGCTATGCTCTGGACTAAGTGCTTTAAATGGATTACTTATTTTTGTCATTTAATCTTAAAAAATCTTAAATAATTTTTTGCTTATTTAAATAATTTAAATTAAAAAATCAATTATCAGATGGGCATTGTAATTATCTCCAGATTATAGATGAGGAAATTGAGGATCAAAGAAGTTGAGGAGTGGGAAATTGTTAATTTTACAGTTTATCTCCAGAGCCTATATTATATGAGGCTGCCTCTGTAGTACAAGTCAGGATTTGAGCTAGAGCTCAGGATTTTTGATCCCCTGTTAAATTTTGCTTGTGTTCTATTGATGCATATGATCTACTCGTCCTGTTATTCTGTTACAAAGAAAAATTAGATTAATGAAAAAATGACTTCTGTTTGATATTTTATGAACTGATTTAAGCAGTAGAATTTCATTAAAACACATTATGTTTGCCAGCAAGTTATTGTTCAGGTAAGTGTTACATTCCTAAAAATAGTAAGATTTCCTTATGAGGCTGCTTTTTGCTTCACATAAAAGATGATTTATTTTTGGGTGACTTAGATTTGAGATAGCATCTGTATTAAAATACAAATTTTTTTTCTAAAATTAATTTCAGATAATTATGTAACTATATTTTTTGGTCACTTTAAATTTCTAGTTATCCATATAGAAATGGATGTTTTATTTTTTAATTTTGTTTAATTTTTATTTTTAAATTTTATTTATTTTTGTCTTACATAAGACAAAATATTAGATGATTTAAAATGAGGGCAAAGATCCTCACATTGAGTGTAATTATATTTTAGGACCAACTAATGTCTTACCTAAATTTACTTTTTCTCTTTAATTTTGATTTTAAATCTCTTGTTTGACAAGTTCAAAGATTAACCCAAACAGTAACTTTTAATTTTTTTTTATTGATGAAAAGAATCATAAAAAGTTTTCATTATATATTGTTTTACTCTTTAGATATTGTTTGCTGTTTCTGAAGCTAAAGAGAAATGGAAAAGCGAGGTTGCAAATATGAAGAAAAATGTCACACCTGGAAAGGAAATGGAAGAGAAGATTCATTCTCTGCAGAGAGAGCTTGAGTTAAAGAATGAGGAACTCCCCGTGGTTGTCAGGGCTGAGCTGGCAAAGGCCCGAAGTGAGTGGAACAAAGAAAAGCAAGACGAAATCCACAGAATTCAAGAACAAAATGAGCAAGATTACCGGCAATTTTTAGATGACCATCGAAATAAAATTAATGAGGTGCTTGCTGCAGCTAAGGAAGACTTTTTGAAGCAAAAAGCTGAACTACTTCTTCAGAAGGAGACAGAATTACAGACGTGTCTAGACCAGAGCCGCAGAGAATGGACTATGCAGGAAACCAGGCGGATCCAACTGGAAATCCATCAGCATGAGGAAGACATCCTAACTGTCTTGGAGTTTCTCTTAAAGGACACCCTGAAGGAGCAAGCCAGTGGTTCAGAGAGTAAGCCCCCTTTGGAACTCTTGTCAACTTGTTCTTCGAAATGGATGTCTGTGCAATGTTTTGAAAAACTAAAGGCCTGCATACAGAAAGCATTTCAAGATATACTCTCCTTACTGATAGAAACTATCGACTCAGACTGGGGGAAGGTATGTTCCTGATAAGTGAAAAGAGCTATGATTCAGTGTCATGTATGATTATTGAAGTTGCATTTGGTATTTCTTCCTTTCTTCATTCTCCAGTTTAATAGATGTGAGACTTGTGTTTTTACTAGTGGTTTAAAAAAATCTTTAGCAAATTCAAAGGATTGCAATATGTATTTTTTTGCCCCCAAAACTTTGCTCCTCATAGTGCCACAAATATGAGCAGAGCTTTTATCTTCTAGATACCTTTTTTTCCCTAAAAAAAAAACAAAAAACAAAACCCATGCTGTTCTTCGTAAGGACCTCAGATTTCAGAAATGGAATAACTTTCATTCCTATTTTTGGGGGGCATGACAACTTTAAGAAACATGCATCGTATTAAACTAGAACTTCTAAAGAGTTTGAAAGCCTATTGCTTACCCTTGAATTTATATCTCGTGCAGGCAAAAAAACACTGAGTCCAAAGAATATTGTTTTAGAAATAAACAAGTAGAGGTACGGTTTAATCACATAAAACTCTGAGGCAGAGTTTTGTTTGTATACTTTGTACGTGCATGTAGAATGGATTAGTTGTGTTCTTCTCATTGTATAAGTATTCTCTGACACCAGCTTTTAGTTTGTGTGGAAGATCTGATAAAACCAAAGTCTTGCTGCCTTATCGTTAAATACATTAGATATACATGAAAATTCCAGAATGGTATTCTAGCCATTGTGAGCAGCCAATGTTAACATTTGGTATTTGAGGTAGAAAAAAATGCCAATATTCTAAGTTTTGTCTGATAGAAGAGTTGAAACATGAGTTAAGATTCATTAAAATATTGTGATTAAAGATTTTCAAGGCCAGGATTGAGCATTTGGTATTAATACCTACTGGAAAGAATTATAGGCTACAAAAAAGAAAATCTGAGTTCTAATCCCATACTTAGTGATGTCTAGTTTATTACCTTGGGTAGTCATAAATTATAGTTGCTCATCTGAAAAAGAAAATACAAATCCCTGATCTAATTCCTTGGATTTTGGTAGAATAAAAATGACACAGCTTGGTCTTTCTGCATCTTGCATTTGAAATAATACAGAATTGTAGAGCCAAAGAACCTGAAAGATCAGTCTACCCCATCCCAATTCAACCCAGTTGATATTTTTATTGTTGATTTCACAAAGATGTTACTGCCTAATAGTTACTTTTAGTGTAAAATTCACTGGGCAAGACCAATTCCCATGATTACTGCTTAAAATACTTTATTGAGAATTTTTGGATAAAGTATATAATTATGAAAAATTATTTATGGCAACTTAAAGGGTATGAAGTGATGGGAAGATCATGTTATATGGTTTCGAGTTTGCTTTCCTGAAGCAAACTTTTGTCTGCTGTAAAAGTCAAGAAACTCACAACCCCATCCTCCTAATGTTAACATAGAATCAACCCTGGGGTCTTTTTATAGGGCTTATAGTTGTGCAGGCTTCCCAGCTGGCACAGCTGTAAAGAATCTGCCTGCCAATGCTGAAGACACAAGAGATGGGGGTTTGATCCCTGGATCAGGAAGATCCCTTGGACAAGGAAATGACAACCCACGCCAGTAGTTTTGTGTGGAAAATGCCATAGACAGAGGAGTCTGGCATGCTACACAGTCCATGGGGTCACAAAGAGTCACACATGCCTGAGCGACTGAGCACACAGTTGTGCAAGCAGGATAAGGCCCTCTGTATGACTTTATGTGTCTTACATGTATATGGAGACAAATTCACATAATTTGGCTCAGAATTTAGACTTTTGCAGCTTATGTTGAGTGGGATCAGATTCCATTCTCTGGAGAAGGGTGACTCTGAAATGTCTTATTTGGCATTTGTTACAGAAATTTGTCACAGAAGAGTAGTACTCAGCCTTCTGCTGTCTTAGAGCTAAGTCTGCTCAGGACCTTGAGAGAAAGCAGTGATTAAAAAGCAGTGATCATAAATTTGTGATATAAGTGCCGTAAATGTGAAGAACTGTGATTTACAATTAATTAAATTTGTGATTTTTTGAACTTCTCATGAAACTTAAGACTGGAAAAAAGTGATCAGTATATATAAAACAAGTCCTCATTAAAATTACTTAAATGTCAAGATTTAATTAAAAAATTTTTTTCAGCTTTATTGCACTGTAATTGACAAATAAAATTGTAAGATGTTTAAAGTATATATCATGGTGATTTGATACACATATACATTGTAAAAAGGTCTTCCCAGGTAGCACAGTGGTAAAGCATCTGCCTGCCAATGTAAGAGACGCAAGAGATTTGGGTTTGATCCCTGGGTGGATTCCACCATTTAGTTAACTAACACATCCATCACCTCACCTATTTACTGTACTTTTTTGTTGGTGAGAACAATTAAGTTTAGATTATCAAGATTTTAAATGGCCAAGTTGCAATGAATTAAAAATACAGTTTCCAGTAAAATTAATGCCCTATCAAACATGTTATTTATATTTATATACTAAGTATATTAATACAGCAGTTCATAATGATGAAAAGAAAAGAGAAATAGCAATTGGAACACAATTTTTAAACAAATTTAAGGATGTGTGGTCTTACCCCAATGTCAAGTTAAAACTAAGACAAAAAGATTGCTACTTTTTTTTGCCATCTTGGCTTTTCTTCAGTTCTGAGCAGAAATTGGAAACATTAGCTGCTTTTGGGATCATTTTTTATTACTCCTTTGGTCTCAACCTCATAGCATCTTGATTGCTTGGAGTTTGCAGTCTTTGTACCTGTTGACCTCTGCTTCTGTTGGGCTACATGGGTAGCTTTCCTGACAGTGATTCAAAATCAAGGCTTCCAGAATTAAGCATATATAAAGTATTTTAAGTAATTAAACAAGACAGCTTTCTCAAGATCATCTGGTTTGTTTGGGATTCACTAGTTGTCCAAAATTGGAAAATATATTGTCTTAAAAAAATGTCCCAACATTAATGAGTTCGTAGCCGTGTTGCCAGAATAGAAAGTAGAATGCAGAAAGTGTTCAATCAATACTAGTGAGGAAATGGTCTTGTACAAGATTTTCACTTAGGTGAGCCTCAGTTTCTCTCCTTAACATTAGAATTGAATGGTCTTTCCTTGTCAACAAATGACAAGGTAAAGTATTTAGATACATAGCACACTATGTAAGTTTCAAAGATATTTATTGTTGTTACTTTCAATTCATGGAAGGCATAAGCTTAGTATTGTAAATTTCTAATGAATTTTCCCCCTGTTGCAGTGAAAATGATTAGCATTTTAATTAGAGTTTTAATAGGCATTAACTATGAAGATAATCTGTTTCAGAGAATTATGACCAAGATCTATAAGGATCCTGCCACGGGCAGAGGAGACCCTGGAGTCCAGGCGATGCTTCCTGTGCCTACGTCTGGACACCATGCTCTGCCTTTGGCGGCTGTACACGAAGCAGAAGCTGGTAATGGGATTCTGTTCCTACTTGTCCTTGCAATATCCATAATTCCAGTTCCCGAGGGTTGCTTTCAGGATAAAAGGAAATCAAAGATGTGCAGTTTTCATGAGTGAACAAATGGGTGATATGACTGCTACTTTATGTGTATCCTCTCCCTAGGTTCATTTTACATTAGAAGACAGGGTTGCTGTAGGCCCTCATATTTCCTCCCTTTTCATGGTCTTTCTCCATTCATAAGTGACTCGTATTATAAAGGTAATAATGAAAATTTTAGTAGAGCGGTCATCTTTTCATTCCCTGGCTTTGTTGAGAAATCAGAGGTTACACATAAGAGAATTGCCAAATCACTGAGACTTTTCCTTTCAGGTTACTGAAGCTTATTTCAGCTATTTTTAATAGAAATCTTTCTGAAGTGTACCAAGTGTTTCCTGCTGTATTTGGGGTTTTCTTCAGGTGGGGGGCAGTGTTTTTTTCTCTTCCTCTCTACCACCTGGCACATAGTGAATGGCACATGGTTTGTGTTCCTTGAGTATCTGATGAATTAATAATTTAACTTAGTGACTTAGAGTTGTTAGTTTGAAAAGAATTGCACCGTGCTGCAGCCCCTTGAGGTATTCAGAGCTCACTGGGGAATATGGGCATATACTGTCCATTTACTGGGATTTTGAACTAGGAACTGCCATAGTCCTTGTAAGTTCCAGTCCTCTCTGGACATCCACCCCTTGTAGCCTGCTCCCTTCCCCCACCTACAAACTTATACATGTTTTTTCTGTTTCTTGTCTGCTGTCTCCATTGTAACCTGGAAAAGAACTAAGGCTTGCCAGAGGAAATCATGTACAGAGTGAATGACCTTAGTTTCCACACTCAAATTCAGTAGGCATATTACCAGAGTCCTAGAGAACATCTGCCTTTTCTAAGACATCAGTTGACTGTTATTTCTCTCATCGTCTGACCAGAGACCCTCTTCCCTTACCTCTAGGTTCTAGATGGTTGCAGATATCTTTTTGCCAATTAAGTAAATACTAATTTAACAATTAGCAGGGTAATACTATCCTAATTTGTATTTTGTTTCCTACTTTTCAATGTCACTTTATGTCTGTTTTTATATTTAGAATAACTTGAAAATTACTTCCTAATTTGTGAAATGCATAGAAATGAGTTTTAGATATCATTTGGCTTTGGGAGGTCCAGTCAATATGAAAGAAATCAGTTTTGACTTACGACAAATCAAACTATAGAAGGACTTACATTCTTTCTTTAATCTTTTTTTCCCTAAAAACAAACACATTAACATTAGAAAGGGTTGAATAATCCAAAACATTTACTAGGTGATCAAGCCCCTCACAGTCCTACTACCAGAGAGTACCTCTGTTAGTAGTGTGGTTATATTCTCTTAATATTTTATCATTTTTAAAACTAATTTAAATATTAATTATGAAATAATTGATACATGCAAAAAATATGTGTAATGCACAGGTAAGTTATCAACCCAACAACCAGGAACCCACTATTTGACTTAGGAGGTAGAACATCACCAGTACTGTTGAAGATGCCCGTTGTTTCATCATCATTCTGTCCCTGTAACTTCCCCACCAACTGAGGTAATAAATATTCTGACATAAAAAAAAAAAATTTCGTTGCTTTTCTTTATGTTTTGACCAAATATAGGTATCCTCAAAAAGCTATTGCTTTCATTTGTCTTTTAACATTGAAAAATGGTTTAATACTTGTTTTAGTCTTTGTAACTTGTTTTTTTTCCACTTAATATTGAGCTTCTAAAATTTGTCTTTGTTAATGTATATGGTTCTGGTTCATTCATTTTCATTGTTGTATAGTATTCTGTTGTATGAATATAGTATAATTAATCTATTTTCTTGTCGATGGGCATTTGGCCTGGTTTCCGGTTTTACAAAACAATGTCTTCAATGAAGTGTGTAAGTGCTGTGTATGGTGATGTTTCATTAATCCTTTGATGTTTGTAAACATAAATGATACCATTTGAAAGAAACTGAAAAGTAAGAGAGCTAAGAATAATTTTGCTGGACCAATGTTTTTACATCAACATTTTAGATACTGGCCTCTGAGCCTGTGCCAATTTGTATTCCTACTTCATTATATCAGTTATATTAATAGTAATGATCTGTCATTTTTGTATATTACTTAAATTTTATAAACTTTATATGTTACTAGTAGCCATAGCTATTCCTTTTTTTTTATTTCAATAATAATTTTATTTTTTTATTTATTTATTTATTTCCATTTATTTTTATTAGTATAGCTATTCCTTAATTGTATACTTGCTCTATGCCAGGTTCTGTGCCAGACAATATTTGTACGTTTATACCTCCTGACAGTTTTATATCTTTTTTTTTTTATTTGGAGATAATGTCAAATCTTACAGAAAAGTTGCAAAAATAAAAATAGTTGCAAAGATCACTCATATATCCTTTACCTAGATACACTTAGTGATAGCATATTACCCCATTTGTGTTCCTCCGTGTGTACGTGTCTGTGAACATTTCATTTCTTTCTGAACCTTTCAAGGATAGGTTATATACATTATAGGACTTCCCTGTTGGCTCAGAGGGTAAAGCGTCTGCCTACAGTGTGGGACACCCGGGTTCAGTCCCTGGGTTGGGAAGATCTCCTAGAGAAGGACATGGCAACCCACTCCAGTATTCTTGCCTGGAAAATCCCATGGATGGAGGAGCCTGTTAGGCTACAGTCCATGGGGTTGAAAAAGTTGGACACAGCTGAGCAACTTCATTTTCACTTTCACTATATACATTATGCCCTTTTACCCCAAAATACTTCAGTGTGTATTTTCCGAAAATAGGGATTTTTCGTATATACTTTAGTATAGTAAATTTAACATTAGATGAAAATCTGTGTTACATAGTTTTATCAATTTGCTCTTTGTATTCTAATTTTGTCAATTGATCTGATAAAGTCTTTACAGCATTTTTTCCCCTTATGGTACTGCAGCCTGTCTGGGGTCACGTATTATGTTTAGATGTCACGTCTCATTAATCTCTTTTATTCTGGGGTATTTCTGTGGCCTCTTTTTGCCTTTTATGACATTGATATTTTCGAGAGATATATTCTTCACTCTCCCTAACACCTGTCAACCCCTGGCTTTTAATAGAACTTTCCTCATTTTGAATTTATCTGGTGTTTCTTCATGATTGTCATGGATTGTGTTTTCTTAGCTGGACCACTGCACAGATGGTGTGATGCCACACCTGGAAATGTGTGATGTTCATATTTCTTGTTGTCCAGTTTCTTCACTGTATAATTACTGTGTTTTTTTTTCTCCCTCACAACTAATAAGGAATCTGTGGGGAGATACTTTCAACACCGTAAGAGTGTCCTCCTCCTAGCAAAATATTCTAGTCTCATCTTGAATGTACCCTGTCTCAGTACTGTAGTCAGCCATTCCTTGAAGAACTCTGGCTCCTTTTAGTGGACAATTGTATTCGATACTAGGATCTGAGCATTGTGTTTCAGAGCAGTTTTTAAAATAGATGATATTATTCAATTTTCCATATTAGGAAACTGAGTCTCAGAGGTTAAGTAATGCAACAGCTGGTAAAATAAATAGTGAAAACAGGATTCAAATTCAAGTCTCTTTTTCTTAAGCATCATACTTTTTTCAGTTAGACTATAGCCTTTAATCATGTCATCTGGTTTCCTTCCTTCTCATAGTCTAATTGATATAAAAGTGTGCTATCATTTAATTTTTGCAGATAAGAAAAAGATCCTTGAAATTAAAGATTCATGCTGTGGACACTGCTTCCAAGAACTTGAAAATGCAAAGCAGGAATGTCAAGATCTGAAAAGAAAACTGGAGAAATGCTGTAGGCATCTTCAGCATTTAGAAAGGAAGCACAGAGCTGTAGTGGAAAAAATTGGAGGTTAGCATTTGAAGTAACACTGCTACAAGTGTAAATCTCCTTGATCCTGGTTGGAATGTTCAAATGGGACATTTTAGTTAATGGAACCACTGATTATCTTTGGGAATTACTATATGCTAATTTGGATCTTATTTTTATTAGGCAAATAATTATTACTGAACTTAGTCCTTCTTTTTTTGATTGAATAGCTTTTGAGTGTGTGTCAAGCAGTGTTCTAGGCACTGGGGGTATAGCAGTGAAGACATGAGACAAAATTCCACTTCTGATGGAGATATACAGGGCTCTGTTCTCTTGCTTCAAGAAGCTTATCATTAAAGGAGGAGAACTGAAAACATTAATGAATAATTGCAGCTCTGGGTAGCTGGCAGTACGTTCATGTAAACTAGGAACAAAGGTTGTTAGTTGAATCTTCCTCCTGTTAAAGTTAAGGAAGGCTTGACTAAGCCTTGAAAGATGAATGTGTTTGCCAAAGAGAATGGCATTCCAGGCAGAGGGAAGAGACATGAACCAAGGCGTCTGGGTCTGATGTGGCCTCTCTCCATCTGTTCTTCACAATGCTGTCAGGGAGTTGTCTAAAAGGCCCGTCTTCTGCCTTTTCCTATTGCCGTCTTGAAGAAGGGAGCTATTGGGCTCACAAGGCTGCTCCCTCTTACCTTTCACAGGGTGTTGACTTACACCCTGTGCTCTGTATTCCTTGCCTTTGAAATATTTCAGATGCCCGAGCTGGTCAGGCATTTTCTTTTATAATATTGTCATTCCTGTCCTATGCTTTCCCCTCTCATTCTTGTTTTGGCCCTACTCTTGCCCATCCTTTAGAATTCAATTGAGAGTATATCTTGTCTGCAGAGCCTTGATTTTTGCCAGTGTGGGCTAGATGGGCTGCTTCCGTATGGCCTCAGGACATTTGTCTCCTCCTCTGGTAACATTCTGTATCTCACTTTTTGATTACTTGCCCAACATCTTTTTAACCTACAAATTTGTTGAGATGGTATCTCATTTATCCTTATAGTCTGGTACCCATTATATACAAGACAGTAATAAATGCTTGAATGAAGGAAGGACTGAATGCAAGGGTCCCAAACAATGTTTCATCCAGACCCAGGCGGGTAGGTTCACTTTTTTCCTCCATCCACCTCTCTCATTTGCTTGAACAACAGTCATCTCTTTCTGCTTCCAGTCTTACTTCCAATCCATTCTCCATCAGGAAGCTAGAGCAGCCTTTTAGAAAAGTAAATATGACTGTGACACTCTGTTGTTTAAAGCGCCTCAGTGGCTTGTCTGGCCCTCAGTGTAAAACAAAATTTGACATAATTTAAGAAGCCCTTCCTGATCCCACTTCTGCCAGCCTTTCAGGCTCATGTCCTGCCCAGCCCTCTTATCCTCTCACAGAGCTGTGGCAGGGATTTCACTGACTCTCTGGGCCTTTGTGCACCTCTTCATTTACCAACAGCATCTGTCTCCCCATCCTGGTCACAATGCCTGGCTAATGCCTATTCGTCAACCCCCTGGCACATGATTTCCCTATAGAGGCTTTCCTAAGCACCCCAGACTTGGCTAGTTTCTTCTGTTAGACATTTCCCACTGCTCCTATGAGTTTTGTAACATTTGTAACATTTGTATTTAATGTCTGTATTCTCCTTTGGAGTGTGGTGGTGACAAAGGATTAAATCCTGTCCCAGCCTTAGCATAGTACCTGGCATCATAGCACACTCTGTAAACATTTTTGCCCAAGAGTAGCCACTTACTCCCATTACTGCTTCCTAATTCTGTTAAAGATAGGTCATAATTGCTTTAAGGCTGAGAAAGTGTTTTAGCAATTTTGAGATAAAAATTTTAACAACTGCATTTCCCGTGGTCTTTAACAGATTAAAGTTAAGGAAGGCTTGACTAAGCCTTGAAAGATGAATGTGTTTGCCAAAGAGAATGGCATTCCAGGCAGAGGGAAGAGACATGAACCAAGGCGTCTGGGTCTGATGTGGCCTCTCTCCATCTGTTCTTCACAATGCTGTCAGGGAGTTGTCTAAAAGGCCCGTCTTCTGCCTTTTCCTATTGCCGTCTTGAAGAAGGGAGCTATTGGGCTCACAAGGCTGCTCCCTCTTACCTTTCACAGGGTGTTGACTTACACCCTGTGCTCTGTATTCCTTGCCTTTGAAATATTTCAGATGCCCGAGCTGGTCAGGCATTTTCTTTTATAATATTGTCATTCCTGTCCTATGCTTTCCCCTCTCATTCTTGTTTTGGCCCTACTCTTGCCCATCCTTTAGAATTCAATTGAGAGTATATCTTGTCTGCAGAGCCTTGATTTTTGCCAGTGTGGGCTAGATGGGCTGCTTCCGTATGGCCTCAGGACATTTGTCTCTTCCTCTGGTAACATTCTGTATCTCACTTTTTGATTACTTGCCCAACATCTTTTTAACCTACAAATTTGTTGAGATGGTATCTCATTTATCCTTATAGTCTGGTACCCATTATATACAAGACAGTAATAAATGCTTGAATGAAGGAAGGACTGAATGCAAGGGTCCCAAACAATGTTTCATCCAGACCCAGGCGGGTAGGTTCACTTTTTTCCTCCATCCACCTCTCTCATTTGCTTGAACAACAGTCATCTCTTTCTGCTTCCAGTCTTACTTCCAATCCATTCTCCATCAGGAAGCTAGAGCAGCCTTTTAGAAAAGTAAATATGACTGTGACACTCTGTTGTTTAAAGCGCCTCAGTGGCTTGTCTGGCCCTCAGTGTAAAACAAAATTTGACATAATTTAAGAAGCCCTTCCTGATCCCACTTCTGCCAGCCTTTCAGGCTCATGTCCTGCCCAGCCCTCTTATCCTCTCACAGAGCTGTGGCAGGGATTTCACTGACTCTCTGGGCCTTTGTGCACCTCTTCATTTACCAACAGCATCTGTCTCCCCATCCTGGTCACAATGCCTGGCTAACGCCTATTCGTCAACCCCCTGGCACATGATTTCCCTATAGAGGCTTTCCTAAGCACTCCAGACTTGGCTAGTTTCTTCTGTTAGACATTTCCCACTGCTCCTATGAGTTTTGTAACATTTGTCATCCTTGTGATTATTTAATGTCTGTATTCTCCTTTGGAGTGTGGTGGTGACAAGGATTAAATCCTGTCCCAGCCTTAGCATAGTACCTGGCATCATAGCACACTCAGTAAACATTTTTGCCCAAGAGTAGCCACTTACTCCCATTACTGCTTCCTAATTCTGTTAAAGATAGGTCATAATTGCTTTAAGGCTGAGAAAGTGTTTTAGCAATTTTGAGATAAAAATTTTAACAACTGCATTTCCCGTGGTCTTTAACAGAGGCTGGAGAGCGAGTAAATTTGTCCAACTGTGGTGGTAAATTTCTCTTCCTGGAGGAGGCTGTTGTAAAATTTGATGGAAATCAAGAAATTTGTTTTACATAATAAAATGATAAGGGCAGTAGGTTGTGGTTATTTACAGATACTAATATTTAGCACTGTACATTGTGATCATACAATGGTTATTCTACATAGTGTTTTTTGAGGCTGATTACTTCTGTAATTTGTGGACTTAGAAATAATCCAAGAAAGTTGATAGTTAGCTCAAAACAGCAAGCTAATAAAAGAGGTCAGGGTCAGCATTTAAGCCATTTGCTAATTTCAGTGTTTGTGTTAATGTAAATCTGCTACTTGATAAAATTTTTGCTATTTTGGTTGCTTTATTGTTTCTTAAATTCCATTTTCCACTGTCATGGTAGCATTTATTGAAAAGTAATGGAGTAAGAGTGAGTGGATTAGAAATATACAAGCTGTATCCATCACTGGGAGAACAGAATGATTCATTCCCCAACTTGTAGGGTGTGTTGAAAGGCTGGAATAGTAGGAAACAAGGGGTGCCATTTTCATTTTATTAAACATTGTCATTGCCAGACCTTGTATAAAGTGCTGTGCATTTACTATTTTATTTCCATTATAATCATCAAGGTCGATAACACTATCCCCATTTTACACATTAAAAAACTCAGTTTCAGAAAGATTAGTTTGCCTAAGCTCATCCAGTGGGTAAGAAGGCCTTAAACTTGTGTCTCTCTGACTGAAATTTATGCTTTGTCCTCTGTGCCACAGGGACTCCATCAGTCTCCTTATCTTGTTTTTATAAGTTCAAAAAGTTGAAGATCTTATGTTATTTTTGAAAATGTTACCTACTTAAGCTTAACTTTTTTCTCTTAATTTTGTATTGAGGTGCTTGTTCAATGATCAATTTATATGAGCATAGACTGCATACCAGGGTCCATGAGGGACATGGAATTAGGAAACCTGTGTTTCTAAATAAAGCCTTCCATCTAACTGGAAGGCAAACCACATGCATATAAAGCAATTGGAGATTTATTCCAGGACAGTCTGTAACCCAAAATGAGTTGAAAATGGAATACAGATTTAAAGTGCTGAGAATATAGAACAGTGGGTGGTCAGATTTGGGTTTCTCAGGGAACAATGACACAGGGAACGACTGGAAACTTGGCAGTCTCCTCTATGAACATTTGTGCTGGTAATTTAAGGGAAAGACAGAGAAAAAGAGATTGACCAATATACTATACACTTTCTTTTTTTAGAAGAGAATACTAAAGTTGTTGAAGAATTAATAGAAGAAAACAATGACATGAAGAATAAATTAGAAGAACTGAGAACGCTTTGTAAAACACTACCACCGAGGTAGACTTTTACTATTTCAAAGAAACTGTTTATTTCTGAGTATCTTTACTTTTTAAAAAAATAACAGTCCTATCAATATTATCATACCAAGAATATAAATTACTGTTACTGTTGCATAGCAAAAAGTATGGGGGAAAAAAAGATCTTTTAAAACTCTATTCCCAGCAGATACTCTTTTTTTTGATAGGTGTGGTCCCGTTGCCATTTACTTTGTTTTGGGTTCGCGTTTATACAGAAAGGTTGTATAAACCCAGAAGATACTCTTTATTTAAAGTCTTTGGGTTGGGAAAATCTGCTGGAGAAGGGGGAGGCTACCCACTCCAGTATTCTTGGGCTTCTCTGGTGGCTCAGCTGATACAGAATCTGCCTGCAATATGGGAGACCAGGCTTTGATCCCTGGTTGAGGAGATCTCTTGGAGAAGGGAACGGCTACTCACTCCAGTATTCTGGCCTGGAGAATTCCATGGACTGTATATCCAAGGGGTCACAAAGAGACATGACTGAGTGACTTTCACCCTCACACAAACACATGTGCACATGTTTTAAAAACTGAGATTATTATATAAGCTACTTTGTGGCCTTTTATTAATATTATAAGATAAACTCTTCCCCCATGCCATTAGATATACTTTATAATCTACTCTTCAGTAACTGCATAGGTTTTCATCATGTGGATTTATTGTGATATAAGTAACCGTAACACTTAAGTTTGCCTTTTTCTCCTAAATAATTATAGTAGAGATCCTCAGATGTGTATTTTTTAGCACACAGCTTGTTTTATTAGAATACATATTTATGTATATATTTAAAAAATTATATATGAATATTTTTCAAATTACATTTTTCACTTAATCTCTGTATTTTTTTAGGTCACTGTCAGAAGGAGCTATTGAAAATGCCTGCCTGCCATGCAATGAGGTGGCCTTGGAAGAACTTCGCGGGCAATACATTAAAGCTGTAAAAAAGATTAAGCGTAAGTCTCTAAAGAGATCCCTAAGGTTTCAAGGTGGTTTGGGTCTTTTTTGTAACTAATAGTAGTAATTTGGGGGAATTTTCTGAACTACCTTAATCTGAGATATTATGTTACCTGTTTTTAGAAGAGATCACTGATAGCTTTTCTAAATTATGTCATAATTTTACCCAAGTAAATTTGGGGTTTGCCACCAAAATTTTGGAAGTGGCACAAGGATAGAGGTATTTTTATATTGTTAATTATCCTGGGTTTTTTTTGGACTAAAATGTATGTATAGATATATTTTAAAGTATAGTTGACATATATCACTATATTAATTTCAGGCCTGTAACGTAATTGATTTGGTGTTTGTTTATGCTGTGAAGTGATCACCACAATAAGTCTAGTTTCCCCATCACCATGCAAAGTTACAAAATATAGAATAGTCCCTCTTATCTGTGATTTTACTTTCATGGTTTCAGTTACCTGTGGTCTACTGTAGTCCAAAAACACGAAATGGAAAACTGCATAAATAGTAAGTTTTAAATTGTAGGCCATTTTGAGTAGCATGATGAAATCTCAGCCATCATGCTGTCTGCCTCTGGAAGTGAATCACCCCTTTGTCCAGCATATTCTGCCTATTTGTCACTTAGTACCCACCTTGGTTATTGGATCTACTGTCACTATATCATAGTGGTTGTGTTCATAACCCTTCTTTTACCTAATAAAGGCCGCAAGGTGCAAGAATAGGGATGTTAGCAATTCGTATATGCCAAAGAGAAGCTGTAAAGTGCTTCCTTTAAGTAAAAAGGTAAAAGTTCTCGACTTATTAAGGAAAGAAAAAATCATATGGTGAGGTTGCTGAGATCTACAATAAGGACAGATCTTCTCACAAAATGGTGAAGAAAGAAAACAATTCATGATAGTTTTGCTGTCACACCTCAAACTGCAAAAGTTATAGATACAGTGGATGATAAGTGCTTAGTTAAAATGAAAAAGACATTAAATATGCACAATAAGATATTTAGAGAGAGATCACATTCACATAATTTTATTAAATTGTTAAAATTTCTGTCTTACTAGTTACTGTTTTTAATCTCTTACTGTGCCTAATTTATAAATTAAATGTTAAGAAGGCGATGTATGTATCAGAAAAAAATGTATATATAGGGTTCAGTACGTGGTTTCAAGCATCCACTAAGGGTCTTGGGATGTATTCCCCAGGGATAAGAGGGGGCTGCTGTAAGGTATTCTTCACTATAGTCACCTGTGCTGTACTTCCTCATCCTCATGACTTTGTACTTATCGACCCTCTGCCCCATTTTGCCCGCTGTTCAACCCTCTCCCCTCTGGCAACCACTAGTCTGTTCTCTGTTCATTTGCTTTTTTTTTTTTTAAGATTCCACATATAAATGAAATCATACAGTATTTGTCTTTCTCTGACAGTTCACTTAGCATAATGCCCTCAAGATCCACCCAGGTTGTCACAAATGGCAAGATTTTGTTGTTTTTTATGGCTGAGTAGTATCATTGTATGTCTATAACACCTTCTTTATCCATTCATCCACTGATGGATGCTTAGGTTGTTTGGATAGCTTGGCTATTGTACATGATGCTGCAGTGTACATTGGCACACATAGATCTTTCTGAATTAGTGTTTCTACTTTCTTTTGATATATATCCAGAAGTGAAATTGCTGGATTATGTGGTAGTACTATTTTTCATTTTTTGAGGAACCTCCATACTGTTTGAGTATGTTTGAGGAACCTCCATAGTGGCTATGCCAATCTACCTTCCCATCACCAATTCATAGGGTTTCTCTTTTCCTTCACATGCTCACTAACACATCTTGGTCTTTTGATAATAGCCATTCTAACAGCTGTGAGGTGATAACTCATTGTGATTTTGACTTGCATTTCCATGATGATTAGTGATGTTGAGCATGTACTTGTTGGTCATCTCTATGTTTTCTTTGGAAATCTATCTATTCCTCTGCCCATTTTTTAATCAGGTTGTTTATTTCTTATTGATACTGAGTTGTATGAGTTCTTTATATATATTTTGGAAATTAATCCCTTATTAGATATATAATTTGCAAATATCTTCTTCATTTATTTAATAGGTTGCCTTTTTATCTTTTTGATGGTTTCCTTTGCTGTGCAGAAGCATTGTAGTTTGATATAGTCTCACTTATTTATTTTTGCTTAGATTGCCACTGCTTTTAGAGTTGGGTCTAAAAAAAAATCACTGAGACCAGTGTCAATGAGTTTACTGCCAATATTTTCTTCTAGGAGTTTTATGGTTTTCTGGTCTTACAGTCAAGCCCCTAATCCATTTTGAGTTGATTTTGTATATGTTATAAGAAAGTGGCACACTCTGATTCTTTTGCATGTGGCTGTCCAGTTTTTCCGTTACCATTTCTTGAAGAGATTGTCCTTTTCCCATCATATATTCTTGCCTCCTTTGTTGTAAATTAATCAACCACGTGTGGGTGAGTTTATTTCTGGGCTCTATATTTTGTTCCATTGATCTCTTTGTTTTTATGTCAATACCACACTGTTTTTATCCTTTGTTTTGTTAATGTGTGGTATATTGCACTGATTGACTTGTGGATGTTGAACAGTCCTTGCATCCCTGGGTTATATCCCACTTGATCATGGTGTATGCTCCTTTTAATGTATTGCCCAATTTGATTTGTTAGTATTTTGAAGATTTTTGTGTCTGTGTTCATCAGTGATGTTGGCCTGTAACTTTTTTTTTTTTGGTGGTGCTCTTGTTTAGTTTGGCATCAGGGTAATGCTGGCTTCATAAGATGCGTTTGGGAATATCCCCTTCTCTGGTTTTTTTTTTTTACAAGAATTTGAGAAGGGTAGATATTATATCTTCTTTGAATGGTTGGTAGAATTTACTAGTGAAGCCATCTGGTTCTGGGTTTTCTTAGTCTAGCTAAAGATTCGTCAGCTTTCTTTTTTCAAAGAACCGGATATTAGTTTTATTGATCTTTTCTCAGTTTTGTTGTTGTTGTTTTTCTTTTAAGTAAACCTTGTTTTTTTCTCTCTCTTCTTTCATTAAAAATTTTTTTTATTGAAGTATAGTTGCTTTACAACATTGTGTTAGCTTCTGGTGTACAGCCAAGGGACTTATTTATATGTGTATATATAATATATACTATACATAATATGTATATTATTTTCCATTATGGCTTATTATAAGATATTGAATATAGTTCCTTCTGATACACAGTAGGACTTTGTTATTTATCCCTTTTTTATGTATTAGTCTGTATCTGCTAACCACAACCTCCTAATTTATCCCTATCCCACCTCCTTTCCCCTTTGGTAGCCATAAATTTGTTATCTATGCCTGTGAATCTGTTTCTGGGTAGTATTTTTGGTGGTACCATGTGGATTATAGGATCTTAGTTCAGTGACCAGGGATCCAGTCTATGCCCCCTGAAGTGGAATTGTGGAGTCCTAAGCACTGGACTGCCAGGGAATTCCCTTTTCTGATTTGCAAATAAGTTCATTTGTATCATAGTTTAGATTCCACATATAAGTGATATCATATGGTATTGGTCTTTTTCTTTCTTTCTTCACTTAGAATGATAATCTCTAGGTCCATCCATGTTGCTGCAAATGGCATTATTTCATTGTTTTCTATGGCTGAGTAGTATTCCATTGTGTATGTATATATGTGTACCACATCTTTTTACATTCATCCGTCAGTGAACATTTAGTTTTCTCCTGTATCTTGGCTATTGTAAATAATGCTGCTATGAACATTGGGGATGCACGTATCTTTTTGAATTAGAGTTTTCACTAGATATATACCCAGAAGTGGTACTGCTAGATTGTATGGTGACTCTAATTTTAGTTTTTTGAGAAACTTCCATTATGTTTTTCATAGTGGCTGTACCAATTTACATTCCCACCAACAATGTAGGAGGGTTTCCTTTTTCTACACCATCTCCATCTTTTGTTTTTTGTAAAATTTTAATGATGGCCTTTCTCACTAGTGTGAGGTGATACCTCACTGTAGTTTTGATTTACACTTCTCTAATAATTAGAGATGTTGAACATCTTTTCATGTGCCTGTTGGCCATCTGTATGTCTTCTTTGAAGAAATATTTATTTAGGTCTTCTGCCCATTTTTTGTCATGGAATTTTTCTATTTTTTTATGTCTCTAATTTATTTTTGTTCTCATTTTTATTATTTTCTTCCTTCTACTAACTTTGTCCCTTCTTTTTTCTTCTTTTTCTAGCTCCTTTAGGTGTAAAGTTAGATTGTTTAACATTGTTTCCCAAGGTAGGCCTGTATTGCTATGAACTTCTCTTTTAAAACTGCTTTTGCTATATCCAGTATATTTTGGTATGTTTTATTGATTTTTTCATTTATCTTTAGGTTTATTTTTTATTCCTTTGATTCATTGGTTATTTAGTAACATAATGTTAAGTCTCCACATATTCGTGCTTTTTCCAGTTTCCTTTTTTGATTTTTAATTTCATACCGTTGTGATTGGAAAAGATACTTGATATGGTTTCAATTTTTAAAAAGTGCATTGAGACTTGTGGCCTAACATGTGCTATATCCTGGAGAATGTTGTATGTGCACTTGAGGAAAATGTGTATTCTCCTGTTTTAGAGTAAAATAGTCTTTACATATCTTTTAAGTTCATCTAGGCTACTGTATTGTTTAATGCCAGTGTTCTCTATTTATTTTCTGCCTAGATGAGCTACCCATTGATGTAAATGGGGTATTAAATCCCCCTATTATTATTGTATCACTGTTGATTTCTCCTTGTAGGTCTGATCATACTGTTTTATATATCTTGTTGCTCCTATATTGGGTGAATAAATTTTAACAAATGTTATTTATATCTTCTTGTTGGGTTGATCCCTTTATCATTTTCTAATGTCCATCTCTGTCTTTTATTACAGTCTTTGTTTTAATGTCTGTTTTATTTAATATAAGTGTAACTGCTTCAGCTTTCTTTTGCTGCTTTCTATTTGCATGAAATATTGATCCATTCCTTCACTTTAGCCTTTAAATATCCTTACATCTGAAGTGAGTCTCTTTAACATTTCTTGTATTTCCTGTTTATTTTTTGTTTAAGTTCCCTCTGTGTTCATCCATTCTTATTAATGAGCATCTTTATGATCATTAGTTTGACCATTACCTTTATCAGGTAAGTTACTAACCTCCATTTCATTAAGGTTTTTCTCTGGGGTTTGTCTGGTTCTTTTATTTGGAACATATTTCTGTTTCTTCATTTTGCTTCACTCTCTATGTGTTTAATTCTATATATTATGTGAAATAGGAGAGCTACCTCTCCCAATCTTGAAGGGGTGATCACAGGAAGACTAGGGTGTGTTTAGGGTGCTGTGTCCTGGGGGTTGTAGATTGCCAAGAATGGTCTCTTCAGTTGTTTCATTCGTGTGGGGCCCAGAAACACAAGCCTTCTAGTCCCCAAGGCCAGGTGTTCAGGGGATGTCCCTCACTTGGACTGTGCACACCTGCTGGGTTTGGCGTGTCAGGGCAAGCAGGGAGTGCAGACGTGGGACAAATGGCTGCAGCATGGCAGAGGGGGAGTGCAAAAATGGTGCCTGTGGGGCCGGCACTTGTAAGGTGGAAGTCAGGTGCCAAAATGGCTCCCACGAGCACCTCTGATCCTAGGAGAGTTCTAACAGATTCTGCCCTTCTGACGGATGCTTTAAGGTCAGCAAGTGCATCTCCTTCACATAAGGTCTAGGCATGTATCATGCTGTTGTTTTTGCACTGGGTTCCCAACTTGAGCGAGTCTCTGAATGGGTCCTATAAGAATGGAATCTCCATTTCCTATAGCACTTTGTGTCTCTTGGATGTAAACCAAACCTTTTTGGTTTCTAAAACCAGATGTTTTGGAGGCTCATCTCTCTGTTTCAGGTCCCAAGAATTGGGGCATCTGATGTGGGTTCAAACCCCTTGCACCTCAGGGAGAAGCTTTGTTTTTGTGCTATTATTCCTAATTGTGAGATGCCATGTCCAAGGTGAAGGTTTTGACAAGACTGTTATCTACCTCTGCTACTCGCCTTGATTTGTCTGCTTTGCTGTGGGTGACTCTTCTGCTAGTTCTCAGGTCATTTTCAGGGATAGTTGTTCCATATGTGGCTATAGATGTGGTATGTCCATGGGAGGAGGTGAATTCAGGATTTCCTATAATACCATCTTGAACTGCTTTCAGAATTTTTCTTCTTGGGCTCTAATATTAACCTAAAAATTTCATAATCTTACAACTTAAATCACTAGTCCCCCAAAAAATGCCATATGAGTTTTAAATGAGTTACTATTTTCCTCCATAAGCTTTTAAAGATCATAGAAAATTAATGTTATTAGAAATTGTTCTGTGGTTTCTCATTATTTTCATAATGGATTATGTCATACATGTAAGTTTGTTTATCAAGACCTTTGTGGTACTCGGTGGTGTAATACATCCTACAGAATTATTTATGTGGTTTGTTTTCCTAGTAGAAAACCTCCCAGTTTTTAACTGTAATATTACATAGTTAGTATATATATATCTCAGAACAATACCAGTGTTTATGTATGAGATATGTATATTTGCCTTCTAAAGCTTGCATTTGTTTTAAACAAAATGAGTGGGAGATGTCTCAAGTTTCAAATATAATTGGTAGATCATCAGAATCATTCTGTAGATGCTTTGAAAATGCCACTTAGTATAAAGAATATGCTTCTTTGTTGTTGCTGTTCTAACAGAATCCATGTTACTAGAAAAAAATTAACTTTTTGTTAATAATTAATCAAAAAGTGAAATTTTAAGCGTCCTTTTTCATCCTAATGTGATAACTTGTTGTGTATTTACATGTATTACATTTTAGAAATTGGTTGGATATTTTGTATTGACATGTACTCCGTTAAAATTTTTCCCACTTGAAATAATGAAAAATAGTCTTCCACTTAGCATTTTTACATAGAATGTGTAATTTCCAGGAAGAGCTTGCTGATAAAATGGGATTCCTTTATGAATTAGACTCCTTAATTCAATAGGGATGGTGATATTCAACCAGTAGGATGTAGCCCTGGATTTAGGACAAAGTGTTAATCTTAAAGAGTGGTTCAGTTGAGTTCAGTTCAGTTCAGTCGCTTAGTTGTGTCTGACTCTTTGCAACCCCATGGACTGCAGCACTCCAGGCTTCCCTGTCCATCACCACCTCCTGGAATTTACTCAAACTCATGTCCATTGAATTGATGTTGCCATCCAACCATCTCATCCTCTGTTATCCCCTTCTCTTCCTGCCTTCAGTCTTTTCCAGCATCAGGGTCTTTTCTAATGAGTCAGTTCTTTGCATCAGGTGGCCAAAGTATTGGAGCTTCAGCATCAGTCCTTCCAATGATGTTCAGGACGGATTTCCTTTAGGATGGACTGGTTGGATCTCCTTGTTGTCCAAGGGACTCTCAAGAGTCTTCTCTAATACCACAGTTTGAAACATCAGTTCTTCGGTGTGGTAGTCCCAATCAAAGCACATTGAGTAAAAGATAAAAGGAAGACTTGAAAGCTGTGAACTGTTTTTAAGTGAAAATTTCAGGAGGCACCGTGAGTCTCAAATCTCTCCCTGCAATAGCATTTTGTATACCTCTCATAGATTCTAGTATTATATTTAGTTGGATATTCATAAGTGCTATGAAAAGAATTGAAGAAACAAGGAAACATGGGTTTTCAGAGCACAAGTAAACAGAAGGCTGTGAATCTCTCCAGCTTATATTGCCTCCTTTCTCTGTGTCTACTTCTCTCTTCCTTGCTGCCTCACCCTTTCAGTATATTCCTTTTTCTCTTGTCTTAACTTGACATGTAATTGAAATGCATAAATTTCTGTGCCTCATATTAATGATAATTTCTTATCTCAGTGTTTAAAATATGACAGTTTCTGTAGGGGATATGCTATGTTTCTCTGACCATATTTGTGTTCTGTCATCTTTCTAAGTGGACTTTTAGGTTACTTCTCCTTTTAGTCTACTAAAATGGTGACCGAAATATTCCATTTTAATGATGGTGTTAAGCTATAATATTTAAGCTATATCTCTAGTCACTGCATCTCCCAGAAAATTGGTCTGAAGTCTGCCTCTCTTTATTTTGAAAAAACTGCCAATAAACATGCATTTTGTGGGGATTCCCCCCGCCCCCAGGTGATATGCTTCGTTATATTCAGGAGAGTAAGGAAAGAGCTGCAGAAATGGTAAAAGCAGAGGTATTGCGAGAACGTCAAGAAACCGCCCGAAAGATGCGCAAATATTATTTGATTTGCCTCCAGCAGATTTTGCAGGATGATGGGAAGGAGGAAGGGTAAGTTCTGTCTAAACAATGTGTCCTGAGAGTACCAGGACAGCATTTTGTCATTTTGTAAGCATTTTCCTTAGCCACAGAATTAACTGTATCTACACGATGAGTAGAGGGTTAAGAGAGGCTTAATGTCTGTGCTGCTCTTAATGGTGGCAGAGCATATAGGAAAACAGAAGTCCTGGGGCTAAGGAAACTCATTTTCTTCCTCTACACGCTATTAATTTTATTTTCTGGAATTCCCCACAGGGCTGAGAAGAAGATCATCAGTGCTGCTAGCAAGCTTGCTATGATGGCAAAATTGCTGGAAACACCTATTTCTAATAGATCCCAGAGCAAAACTACACAGTCAGGTATGTGAAAATGAGTTACTTGAAAGATTTTTCTCTCTCTTTCTTTTAGATATTTAATATTTTTAGTAGGAGAATAGGGAATGTAAGGAGTGAGAGCTAATTTATCAAATTATATGCATATTTTACTTAAACTGGAAAAACAGTATAGAGTTTCCAGTTCAAGTAGGCAGACTTAGCTTGCCCATCGGCTTCATTTTGCTGCTTCTATCCCTAGAAAGGATAGAAAGGATTTTAAGTGACAATATAGAGAGAAAGAAGAAATTATGACTCAGCTTTTAAAAGTTATAATTGCTAATTCAGAGGCTGTGAGAAATCCCTGAAAGAAGAAAGGCATTCTAAGATTGAAGATGAAAACCTCAGTTCAGAGCTCCCAGAAGATGACAGTTACAAGTGCGAGCAATAGGGAAACTGTTCCTCACAGGATGGTGGTGGTATATCCCAGAAGCAGGAAGCCTAGGGGATACCAATGGGGTAACTGGTATTCCACAGCAACCAAAACCAGGTGGGGGCACCGTCTTTATTTCTGCTTACTTCCCTTTCTGAACCCCAGTATTAAGCTGGGTGAGAGCAACAGAAAACAGTCTGGGAACAGGGCAGTACTCTAGTTGGCTGCCCATACCAAGGAGAAACCGAGAGCTCATATGCCCAGAATATCAGCAATTAGATCTTTCTACTCTGCTGCTCGTTCGTTTCCACTCCACTTGCAACTGCTTTAAACAACCAGCAGATACTGTGCTCAAGACATCTAAAAGATATGCATTCAACTGAGAATTACTATATATTTCTAGAAAGCAGCACCATAAAAAAAGAAACCAAACTTAGAACAAGACATAACACACACAAAAAAATCCTCAAAACAGTGCTTACACCTATAGAAATAGAATTAATAGAACAAACAACAGGATGTGAGAATGTTAGAAAAATACAGTATCCTCAGAAACATGTAAGAGGATATTGTAGAGGAAACTAACAATATTCTAAAATTTATATTATTTTCAAGGAGAAGATGCAGATACTTATAACTCTGGAGTTTGCTGGAAAGATACAAGTTTAAGTATGTGTATAAAAATTTAAGGCTAACACGTGGGGAAACTAAGCCTATGCCCCACAACTGCTGAGCATGTACTCTCGAGCCTGTAAGCTGCAACTCCTGAGCCCACCTGCCACAGCTGCGAAGCCCATGCACTCTAGTCTGTGTGTCACAACTGCTGAAGCTTTGTGTCCTAAGCCTGTGCTCTGCAATAAGAGAAGCTACTTCAGCGAGAAGTCCTCACACCCCAACTAGAATGTAACCCCCGCTCACTGCAGCTACAGAAAGCTTGTGCATAGCACTGAAGACCCAGCATAGCCAAAAACATCTATTTCTGCTTTATTGACTATGCCAAAGCCTTTGGCTGTGTGGATCACAATAAACTGGAAAATTCTGACAGAGATGAGAATACCAGACCACCTGACCTGCCTCTTGAGAAACCTATCTNTCATGCGAAGAGTTGATTCATTGGAAAAGACCCTGATGCTGGGAGGGGTTGGGGGCAGGAGGAGAAGGGGAAGACAGAGGATGAGATGGCTGGATGGCATCACCGACTTGATGGACATGTGTTTGAGTAAACTCCGGGAGTTGGTAATGGACAGTGAGGCTGGAGTGCTGCTATTCATGGGGTCGCAAAGAGTCAGACACAACTGAGCAACTGAACTGAACTGAATAGAGAATTAGAACATATAACTTTCAAAGTAGTAAGGGTAAAACTTGGAAGAAAACATTTTCAATCTAATACTCTATAAAGGAAAAATACATCTGGAAAGCATAGGTAAATTGAAAATAATAGTAGATTGAAACAGCTGTCACACTAAACATGAGTTGCTTAAACTCAGTAATAAAAGAGCATAATTTTCAAACAGTTTTAAAAATTGTAGACGTATGTTATTTCAGATAAGACCATCATCAACAATTCAAAATACAGGGCTAGAGAGTGATATACCAAGCAATGTAGATTGATATTAGATAAATTATAGAGTTAAATACAGTATTAGGTAAATGTGAGTTAGCATTAAACTGACCAAAGTGAAAGTTCATAATGATAAAAGGTACAGCTTCCCAAGAAGCTACGAATGAGAAGCTTTTTCCAAAGTTCAGTTGAACTTCTGGAAAGCAAGAAGCAAAGATTGTTCAGAAATTCCTGAGTTGAATGTTGGTAAACATTCTTCAAATAGAAGCACAAAGATTATTTGTGTAAATTTTGGAATGGTGATGTGAACCTTGGCTATAAAGGGACAGTGGCATATAACATGAAAAGTTTTCTGGATTTGGTCTAATATTCCCAGCAGTTGCAAATCCTTTATATGGATTTTAGGGGCCATAGTACCCAACTCCGACATATGATGCCTCTGATTCTATGCATTGTGGAGTTCTGCCTCTGATCAGATTTAGTATCTTAGCTAATTAAATCAAAAACTGTTTTAGCTTTGAAAGAATATGTTGTGTGTGTGTCTTGAATTGGGGTGGGGGGGTCCTTCCAGCAGATTTTCTTCATCAGAAACTCCATACTTGACATCAGAGCAAGTTGGAAATGTTGCAGTTGGCTGTTGAAATGCTGTACCACCTATTGCATAAAATAATAGATCAGCTGGATAATAATAATAGATTGCCATTGCAAAATTACTCAGCTTTATCATATATATATATATGAGATTTAAAAATGTTCAGTATTGATGCATTTTCTTTGAGAATGATAAAATATATATGCATTGCTTGGAAATATATAAAAACATGTTTTTTCCCCTCCTCTTTCAGTGTTAATTTTCTGCTAATTCTGTTTTCCCCTAATTTTGTGTTCCCTTGTACATAGGAGTATTGCCTCTGACTTCAGAGAGGCTGACTGGAGTTGAAAAATTAAAAAGAAATGATGTGAATCAGAATATACCGTGTCACACGGAAAGCAAATCAAACAGTCTAAAAACTGTCCCCAGAAGTATGTGCGACCAAGTTCCTAAGAGGAGGGCTGCCTGTAACCTGCGAAGGCAGTTAGAGGATGAAGAGCATGGGGACGGGAAGCCCAAGTGTCCCAGAGAGTCGCACCTGGACTTTCAGTTCAGGGGTAACAGTCACAAACATGTAGACCTTTTGCCAAGGAGTGTTTCTCCTGAGTTTGTGCCTTGCAAAGATAAAGGAAGCTTAGGTTTACACAAGAAGGAAGACCTCCTTGGTGATCCTGGCTCCGAATCACTCCAGCTCTCAAACGCACACCCATTCCTTGGAACCTTCGGAAATAAAACTTCATCTAGATATACCCCTGATCTTTCTGAGTCTGAATCCACACACATTACTTTTCGAAGTCCTAATGAGAGACTTGGTTTAAAAGTATATAAATGTAATCCACTAATGGAAAGTGAAAACGCTGCATCCGAGAAAAGTCCAAGTTTGGTTGTGAAGGAAATTCCCGTAGAGGATGGAGGGGACCTGAGTGAGCCTTCAGGCTGGCGTTCCAGCACGGCCGCTCTACCCTGTAGCAGTCCTGAAGTGTCATTTTTGCATGGTGGGCCGCAAGACACCCTGGATTCGCTTGTTGAATCTGTGAATTTCAAACCGTTTTCAGCAGCCAGCTGTCTTTCAGACTCAGAGAAAAACATGATTCATCAGCCTACGAAATGTCAGAGTGGTCATGCTCAAGACCTGTCAGAAGAAATCACATATTCCCAGCCAGGGAAGAGCAGCATGACTCTTGGACACCCACCTCATCATAAAGCTGATACATTAAAGTCAGAATTCAAAGAACTGAGCAGTATAGTACCACCTGCCATGTGTCCGCTGCCTTCGAGAAAATTAATTGCTCCTCTGTCTAGCCAGCAAGATAGTGGCTTCGATAGCCCATTTGTCAATCTAGACTAATTGTTGTACAATATCTAAGAAGAATCATTAATATATTGACAAGAAAACTGAAGGGAAGACTTGAAACTGAAATATTTGTGGGCCCTACATATTTTGAGATGTTTTGGTAACATCTGACTATCATATAAGTAAAGTATTCTCATAAAATTACTTGAGATATTAATGTTGCCTTCATCTTCCAAAGACTTTGGTGGTGTGTGTGTAATCTGCTTTTGGTGTGGTGCTTGTATTTGGTTGCTAAACCATCTATTTTTATTCTTATAAATTAGCTTTCTGTGCAGTTTTAAATTATTTAAATAAACTTGCATATGGTCTATAGAATTGTTATGAATTGTTTTTTAATTCACAATGTAGAAATGTTATGTTGGCATATTTGAAATTCATCCAGAAAAACATATCAATTTTGGTTTGTTATGTATGATCAGCCAGATTTAATTTTTGAAGTTAGCCATGTTTAATGAGTCTGTATATTTGCTCTGCACATAGTTTACCTGGAAATATCTGCTCAAAATTTTGATCCTGCTTTCAGTTACTGGAAATGAAGTATTACAAGCATTGCCACAAACTATGTACCTGTATCCTCACTTCATTATTTCAAAATTAGCTTGAATTTTTTTTTTAGTTGGCGTTTGTGTTATTTCAGATCTCCTGTGACATGCAGAGACTTTGTCTCTCTTATGGTTTTACAGTCTTTCCTTCTTCTGAAGCATTCCTTTTTAAAAATGGAAATAATCTTTGTCACACAGCCCCAAATTTTAAACTATTAGATTTTTATGTTCATTTATAGTGCAGAATTGGCTAACTTATTGATGCCGTGGTTGACGGTTACATTCTAAACCATGCAGAAATGAATGATCACTTGAATATGGTTACATTTTGTTTTTAATTCCTAGACATGGGTATTAAAGTATTAGGTGTTTGCAGGTATTTCCTGAAAATGCCATAGCTTTCACTCATCTGTCACCCCAAATGTATTATGACTGTATTTGTGGGTTTATCCTGTATATTTGGCTTCCCAGGTGGCTCAGTGGTAAAGAATTTGCCTGCCCAACGATCCCTGGTTCGGAAAGATTTCCTGGAGGAGGAAATGGCAGCCCACTCCAGTATTCTTACCTGGGAAATCCCATGGACAGAGGAGCCTGGGGAGCTACGGTCCTTCAGGTTATAGAGACAGACATGACTGAGTGATGGATGCTAACAAACTGATTTGTCCACCAGGCTAACTTTTATGATGGTTGGATGGGTGGCAAGGTGCATCATCCTCCTGCTGATAACCATCTCTAAAAGCAAGAACCTAGATGTGAACCTTTTAGGAGTTGGAAAGTTCTGTCAACTGGTGACTAGATATAGATAAACCTAAATATTAGCACTGATTTCAGTGCTTGAGTTAACATGAGGTTGGAGAAAGGAACACGCCGCCATCTCTTCAAAATCTTATTTGTATTTCTGAAGGTTCAGTGCCTTTTCTCTAACAATTAGGGTGTCATTTCTCACTCGAGGAAAACTAAACCAGCTAAATTCATCTTCCACATGGATCTTGTTGGTTCTTAATTATTTTAAGTCCTGGATATTACCAAACTGAGAATCAAGCCCATTGCTTTCCTAATTTTTCATCTTTGTCTGTTTGTTTTAAATCCTGTTTTAACCCTTAGCATCAAGGCTAAAAGTAGAAATCTTCTTGCTCCTTTTGTGGTATCCTTAATCTATTTTTGGTATCCATAATTTCAAGAGGATTAGGTTACTTTATTTCATACACCTTATGCATAACCACCAAGAAAGGTATACACTGGTTAGTGTATACATGAAGGGACCACACAGCTAAACTACCACAGTTTAAATCTGTCCGAAGGGTGATGTCAGAACAAAGAGAAGAGAGGAGCCCCATAAATGTCATTGTCACATAGATCTCACTTCATCGTGGTTTTAATCTTTTTATATGTTTCTGCATTTCATTTGTTAATGTCACGTTAGGGACTTTCATGTGCATGCTCACAGGGGATACTGATCTCTAGTTTTCTTGTCATACCTGTCTTGCTTTGATGAAAACGTAATACTGGTCCTGTAGAATGAGTTGAGAAGTTCCCCTGCCTCTATTTTATGAAAGAATTTGTGTAGGATTGCTGTAATTTATTTGTTGTTGGATAGAATTTACTGGATAAAGCCATCTAGCTTGGGCTTTTTGTGTGTGGTAGGAAGGGAGGGCAGGTTTTTAAGTAATGATTCTCTTTTTCTTATTATAGAGCTTTAGATTTTCTGTTTCTTCCTTAGTCTTGGGTGAAATTAGGGACATTGATTACCAACCCTTCAGAATTAGAATGATTATAAGAGAATACGACAAGCCACTTTATATGAACAAATTGGGCAACTTAGGCAAAATGAAACCTTTCTTTTCTAATATAGGTACTTAAACTTCTGAATTTCCCTCTAAGCACTGTATAACGCATACTTATACATATTGACATGTTGTGTTTTTGTTTTCATTTAGTTCAAAATACTTTCTAGTTGCCCCGGTGGTTTCTTTTTGGACCTATGTATTATTTAGAAATGTATCACTTACATTTGAGATTTATCTTTTGGGCCTAGCATATGACCTAGCCTGGAGAATGTTTCACATGCATCTGAAAAGAATACATATTCTCCTCTCATTTGATAGAGTGTTAAAAAATATATTAGGTCAAATTGATTGATAATATTGTTAAGATCTGCTATAACCTTGCTGATTTTTGGTCTACTTGTTCTGTTAGTTATTAATACTGGGACATTTTCAACTATAATTATTAATTTGTCTATTTCTCCTTTTGATTCTCTGACACTTGCTTCTATCAGTGAGACAAGTATGCCAACAACAAACTCTCCAGTTTTTATTTTGTACTTTATTTCAAATTCATTTTAGAAGGATAGCATTTGATGGATTTAGAATTCTCTGTTGGCATTTCCCCACCCTTGCCCCAGGCCCTTTGATTATGTCATTCCACTGCCTTAATGACCACCATACGTTTGCTGAAAAGTTAGCTGTGAATCTTGTTGTTCATGTATTCTGAACTGGCTTTAGGTACATATCTTAATGTATTTGTTACATAAAAGGTACTAACCTTTTATCATTATAAAATCTCTTTTTATCTAGTAATATTTCTTAGAGTTCATTTTTAAGATACTACTACAGCCATTCCAGCTCTCTTATGATTATTGTTTGCATGCCATATCTTTTTTTGTCCTTTCTTTTTTAACCTATTTATGTCTTGATTTCAAATGGGTCTCTGAAAGACAGCACATTGTTGGATCTTGCTTTTTTACACAGTCACTATTTGCTTTTGGATTGGAGATTTTTAGTCTGTTTAATAAAATTATGATTGGACTTACTACATTTGCCATTTTACTTTTGGCTTTCTCTATTATTCATTTGCTATTTCTCTCCTGTGATATATGTCTTTTTTTCCCCATATCTTATGCCTTTTTTATTACTGAGTTGCTTGTTTCTGTTCAGTTCAGTTGCTCACTTATGTCCGACCCTTTGTGACCCCATGGACTGCCGCACGCCAGGCTTCCCAGCCTGTCTCCAGCTCCTGGAGCTTGGTCAAACTCATGTTCATTGAGTCGGTGATGCCATCCAACCATCTCATTGTCTGTCATCCCCTTCTCCTCCTACCCTCAATCTTTCCCAGCACTGGGGTCTTTTCTAGTGATTCAGTTCATTGCATCAGGTGGCCAAGGTATTGGAGTTACAGCTTCAGCACCAGTCCTTCCAATGAATNTGACCACGGGATTTTCCAGGTAGGAATACTGGAGTGGGTTGCCATTTCCTACCCCAGGGGATCTTTCCGGCCCAGGGATCGAACCTGTGTCTCTTCTGTCTCCAGCATTGACAGGCAGATTCTTTACCGCTGAGCTACCAGGGCAGCCCGAAATGGCCCTATGGATAGCCGAGAAATAAAGGTTAGTTATTATTATTATTATCATCATTTTCTGATGTATAGGTAAGAGGTGATCTTAAGAAAGAAACCAAGAGTCTGTGGACTAAGAACGGGACCAGGGATTGTGTTTGGCCACTTTGCTTTTGTTTCTTTTTTGACTTGGGTCGCCCGGTGTGTTGTTTTAGCACATAGTGTTTTTTGTTTGTCTGTTAATGTGTAGGTTAAAAATCGTCTTTCTCGGGAGATTGGGGTTGACATACACACTCTAATATATATAAAATAGATAACAAAGAAGACCTACTGTGTAGCCCAGGGAACTCAATACTCTGTATTGGGGAAAGAATCTTTAAGAAGAGTGGATACTGCTGAATGTCATGTGGCAGCCTGGATGGGCGGGCAGTTTGCGGGAGAATGGACACATGTGTAGGTATGGCTGAGGCCCTTCGGCTGTTCACCTAAAATTATCACAACATTGTTAATTGACAACAGGGAAGGTGTGAGGAGCCCTTTTTGGGCATTAAATCCCCACACGGCCTTCTTAAATGTTTCTTTTTTTGGTAAACAACTTCCTTATGAATGAAATTGACCAAGTGAAAGAATGTTAGAGCTGGAAGGAACTTTTGAAATTAAACCACCTTCTTGTTATTACATATGTGGAATAGGAAGCCCAGAGAGGATAATGACAGAGCACCTGAGTGCGGTCGGTTTCCAGTCTGGAGCTCAAGCTGGAAGCAGTATCTCTCAGGGAAAGGGAGTAGTGTGATGTTTAAAGATTTTATTCTATTCTTTATTAGGTAATTGTTGTAGGACAAGTTGGAAGTTCATGTTTTCATTTACCTTGCATCCTCCCACTTCAAAATGATTGTTGTATTCTTCTGTATAATTTTCCAGATGTTTTCGTATATGTAAATACTGCTAAAATGCTGTCTCAACTAAAATTGGATCATATTGTCCATACTTCTTTACCATATAGTTCCTACCAGATGCATAAACCTGTTGGATAGAGAACTTCATTAATTTAATCAGTTCCTTATGATAAGCAAGCTTTTTTCAAATGTTAAACTCTTTTAAAAGATGCTGCACTCAACATTCCTGTTTATACATCTTTTGACAAAGTAATGTGTACCCCTTGATCAGTGAATTTTTTTAATGTCAAATTTTTTAATGTCAATTTTAATGTCAATTTTAAAGACTTTTAATTAATTTATTTGGCTGCACTGGGTCTCAGTTGCTGTAGGCCTGTGGGATCTAGTTCCCTGATCAGGGATTGAACCCGGGCCCCCTGCACTGGGAACTCGGAATCTTAGCCACTGGACCACCAGGAAAGTCCCCAGTGTGACGTTTTGTAGGAACATAGGGCAGCTGGGTTTGGAGTCTGGCTCTGGCTTACTGTGTGTCTTTAC